GATGGAGCTGGAGGACATTATGCTCAGTGAAATAAGCCAGGTGGAGAAAGACAAATGTCAAATGATTTCCCTCATTTGTGGAGTATAACAATGAAGCAAAACTGAAGGAACAAAATGGCAGCAGACTCAGAGACTCCAAGAATGAAGGAGTGGATAACAAAGAGGAGGGGTGTAGGAGGGTGGGTGGGGAGGGAGGGAGAAGGAGACTGAGGGGTATTATGTTTAGTACACATGGTATGGGGGATCATGGGGAGAACAGTGTAGCACAGTAAGGGACATAGTGGATCTCTGGCATCTTGCTGCACTGATAGACAGTGACTGCATTGGGATATGGGTGGGAACTTGATAATATGAGTAAATGTAGTAACCACATTGTTTTTTCATGTGGAACCTTCATAAGAGTGTATATCAATCATACCTTAATAAAAATTTTTAAAAATAAAAAATAAAAATAAATAAAATAAATAAGGGTGCATTTATCTTTTTGAATCAGGGATTTTGTTTCCTTTGGGTAAATTCCTAAAAGTGGAATTACTGAGTCATATAGTATTTCTATTTTTAGTTTTTTGAGGAACCTCCATACTGCTTTCCATAGTGGCTGCACCAATTTACATTCCCACTAACAGTGTAGAAGGGCTCCCATTTCTTCACATTCTTGCCAATACTTGTTATTTCTTGTCTTCTGAATAATGGACATTCTAATTTGGTTTACGTGATATCTCATTGTGGTTTTGATTTGCATTTCCCTAATAATTAGTGAGGGGGAGCGTCTTTTCATGTGCCTGTTGACCATCTGTATTTCTTCTTTGGAAAAATATCTGTTTCAGTTCTCTGTCCATTTTTTATTGGATTATTGGGGGGTTTTTTGGTGTTGTTGTGTATGAGTTCTTTATATATCATGAATATTAGCCCCTTATCAGATAAATCATTTACAAATATATTCTCCCTGTACTGTAGGCTCCCTTTTAGTTCTGCTGATGGTGTCCTTTGCTGTCCTTTTAAGTTTGATGTAGTCCCACTTGTTCATTTTTTTATTTTGTTTCCCATGCCCAAGGAGATGTGTCCAGCAAAAAGTTGTTCATGCTTATGTTCAAGAGATTTTTACCTGGGTTTTCTTCTGAGTTTTATGATTTTATGTCTTACATTCAGGTCTTTGATCCATTTTGTGTTTACTTTTCTGTATGGAGTTAGACAGTAGTCCATTTTTATTCTCTTGCATGTAGCTGTCCAGTTTTTCCAACACCAGTTATTGAAGAGGCTGTCTTTTCTCCATTGTATATTCATGTAATATCATGTATTAATTGACCATATATGCATGGGTTTATATCTGAGCTCTCTATTGTGTTCCATTGATCTATGAGTCTGTCTTTTGCCAATACCATACTGTTTTGATTACTGTAGCTTTGTAGTATAGCTTGAACTCAGGGAGAGTAATTCCCCAGCTTTGTTCTTCTTTCTCAGGATTGCTTTGGCTATTCCAGGTCTTTTGTGGTTCCATATGATTTTTAGGATTATTTGCTCTAGTTCATTGAAAAATGCCATTTGTATTTAGATAGGGATTGCATTGAATTTAAATTGCTTTGGGCATACCTATGGGTTTTTGAAGGCTAGTACCTTTGGAGGACATGTTTTAGCACTGATCTAGACAAATATTTTAAGCTTCTGTTATAACCCCAGGACTCTGATAGGGAGTATACTGTAGACTTTAAGGGAACTGCTTTTTCATTCATTCATTCAACAAGTATATATTGAGTCCTTATTATGTAGCTGGCACTGTTCTCAACTTAGGATAGATGATAAATAATACACAAATGTTCCATTTACTGGGACCAGTGGTACCAGGTTCTCTGATTTATTTTTTCAGCTGAAGTTTGAATTTCTGTATAAAATCGCCTAATTTTAAAATGTTCATAACTAACTTAAAATTCTTCAATTTACTTTAACAAACAAATTAAACATTTATAACAGCCAAATGTTGCCTTTGGGGCTGTAGCTTATAATATCTGCTAGTCGCAGGGATTTTGTGGTACTGATTCTGAAGAAGTCTGAGACTTGAGAGGACTAAGTGGGATCACACAGACTGGGCAGGATGTGGAGAGGAAAGGAAGAAGGAGAATATTTTGTCTACTTCCTAACAGGGCAGAGGTGTGAAGGCAGGAAATGCAGCGTGCTGAGGGGGTGCGGTGATGGAGGGTGTGTATCTTCTTATCAGTATTGGCAATAGTTTCCCCACTGGGCTGCACTGAATCATCATTTCTAGGTTAAATTATTGCATTTGCCAGGATACAGGTTCAGCTGCCTAAACAGAAACAAAGTATTAGACAAGATAGAAATTTGTCTTTGTCATAATGGTGTGAATTTAAGCAAACTAGAGTGCTCCTCTTCTCTTCTTGCTTTGTCGTGACTCCGACTCATGACCACGGATGGCTCGCCTGAACAGCAGCATTCCAGCCAGCAGGAAGGGCAGGTGTAGGTGGAGAAGGCCATGTCCCTGCCTTTAAAGGGCAGAGTCCAGACTTTGATCACAGTACTTCACACTACACTGGCCAGAGCTAGGTGACATGGCCACATCTAACTCCAAGAAAGGCTGGAAAACTTTTTTCCAGATAAAAAGGTTTTATGTATAAGCTAAAAGTTACATTTTTATATTAGAAAAAGACAATGGGTTTTGCAGTGTATATAACATTCTGCTGCATGTGCTCTTGTGCGTCTCATATTCTGTGAGATAAGGCATCTCTTACTGTACCTTCAGTTTTCTAATAATTTTAGCAAGACCCTACCTAGTAGCATAAACAGAAGGTGATACTTGACATTCATTTTTTCCTATTTTACATTCTTCTGGCCCACTATACTTCCGGTTTGACTGATGTAGCATGGTGAGTTTTTGCTTTGTTTGTTTGCATAGTTGATTTCAAGCAGCATTGCTCAAACTTTTTATTCTTGGGACCCCTTGCACTCTTAAAAATTGCTAAGGATACTAAAAAGCTTTGCTTATGTGGGTTATATCTATTTACAGTTACATTAAAAATTAACACAGGTATTTTTAGGTATAGTAAAATACAAGAACCACTGTTGTAATGCTTCCAACTTTTAAAATTATTTGTTCTCTGTGTAAGGATCTGAGTAAACCCTAAAACAATTTAGGTTTTTACAAGACCCTAATCAATGACTAACTGGTATTTCCTTGTTTCCCTTTTCCCCTTACCTCACCCCCAGTCCCGAGTGACCCATATACCTCTTTGTTCTATCTCCCTAACTCTTTTAATGCCTTTTTTTTTCTGGTTTATTTCTTCTCACTGAGAAGTAGTGATTCCCCAGATGGGATTGCCTACATTCATGGCAGCAGAACTAATTTGGGTTTTAAGCTACGCTGTGACTGTGGCTCTCTCTAGGTCATTTCTTCTTGACGTTTCTGCAGCCTGCAAGTTTAATCTCAGTATATACTCCAGGGATCACTGGAGAGGATGAAGGGGAAAGATTAGAACATGGCAAATGACTTTCCTTGAAGAGTTTCTCAGCCATAGATTCAGGCCAGGAAATAGCATGTAAGGGTGAATGATCTACTTCTCAGACTTCTGAAGTCATGAATATTATATATAACCTGAAAGAATGTAGCTTAACCCCCTTATTTTATAAATTGAGGAACTGAGCAGAAGATATGTGTCCAGCATCATGTAAGGGGTTAGTGGAGTATAAAGGACAAATAAATTTAGAAGTGGGAAGTGATGATGCAGAGCTTGACCTACACTAGTATAAAACTGGAGACTAACATTTATTGAGTGACTATTTGGACTTGAGTATGTTACCTAACATCTCTGGGGCTCAATTCCTTCAACTGCAAACTAAAGATCCTAAAAATAGCTACGTTTTTAAAAATACTGACTATGTGCTAGGAACTGTTCTAGGCACTTTGTATGGTAATTTGTGTAATCCTTATTACAACTATATAACATTACTACTATTTCCCCCATTTTTCAAATGCACAGAAAGGCTGTATAACTTACCTGCAGTCACACCACTAGCGTATTTGTTTTCTGTTGCTGCTTTATAAATCACCACTAGCTTCATAGCTTAAGATAACATACTTATTATCTCAGAGTGTTATGGGTCTGGAGTCTGGGCACAGCATGACTAGATCTGACCTGCTGCTCAGGATCTAAGACAGCAATGGAAATGTCGAGCAGGGTAATGGTCTTATCTGAGGCCTTTGGGTGCTTTTCCAAACTCACATACTATCAGCAGAATTAATTTACCTACAGCTGTGGAACTCAGGGTGGCTGATTCTTCAAGGTCAGCAGGGGAGTGTCTCATTCTTCAAAAGGTCTCTTCTGATTAGGTCAGACCCATCCAAGATAATCTTCCTTTGATTAACTTAATGTCAGATGATTAGAAGTCTTAATGTATCTTCAAACTCTCTTCATCCTTACCATATGAAATAACATAAACACAGAATAGTATCTTATCACCTTTGCTATATTCTGTTTCTTAGAAGCCAGTTATAGGTCTCATCCACACTCTGGAGAGGGAAGGGAGAATTACACAAGCCATGGAGACCAAGGAGCAGGAATCACAGAGCCATCTTACTGCCTTGCTTTCCACAGCTACTAAGTCTTCATTTAAACCCATACTACAGGTCTAAGAGTCCATGGCCCCAGAGTCCATGTTCTCAGCTACTGTGGTCTTTTTCCCTTTGAAGAAAGTTAAACCACATCATAACCTTTCAGAGTCCTAAGTAAGATAACACCCAGCAGGGTTATACTTGCTAGGCAATAATTAATTCTCCTCATATCTCTCCTTTTGAAGTTTGGCTTCAAGAAACTATAACCACCTGAAGTTTTGAATTTCCAGGAAAAGGTTTCCAACAGTATTCAGAGACCTCAAGTTAAATAAGTCATCTCAATTTACTCACACTCTGAGACAGAAATAACCCCAGAGTTTGGTATTTGGCAGTTGAATTCTCAAAATATAACTCTTAACTCTGCTTTTTGTCTTTGCAACAGATGAAGTGATTGAGAAGAAACAGTGAACACCTTCATTCTGTATGCAGACCAATATGGACCAGCCATTTACGGTGAACTCTCTGGTAGGTAGCACCAACTGATGTTTTTACATACGGATCAGAAAGCCCAAAAAGAAGAACAGAAACATACCAAACATGAAATGAGTCACAATTACTTCAAGAAGTCTTAGCTCATGTCGTTTTTCATCTATCTGTGTGGTCCTCTTCTTTGAGGAAGTGACTAATAAAAGCCATCTTCGCTAGAGTTAAAAATAATTTTTTTCCACACAAGTGTGACATGTTAGTCTATCTGGTTGGATTCCAGGAGTGTAGTTCTGGAGAGAACTTCAGAGCTGATTTTGTGGCTGTTTTCGACCTCTTTGTGCCTCAGCTTCTTTACAGATAAAAAATTAGAGGCTTACCCTGTGTGGTAATGACTGAGAAAAATAATCTATATTTAACATCCAGATGTTGCTTTGAGATCCGTGTAAAGATCTGCATACTTGAGACTCTTGTTCTTCTCACTTTTCCCCTTTGGCCTAACATGATGCACACTTTCTCTAATTCTATCTTAGAAGACACAACATGCTGGAGAGGAAATAACAGGGACTTGGGATTACATGGGTTTATTCTGTGTCTTAGATCAGTCTCTGAGAATGTAGGCATGTTATATAATCTCCATGGCCCTGTTTCTATACTCTGTGCCCTAAGACAGTCGGAAACATGTTTTTAAAGTTCTCAGCCTTTTATGGGAGCTTGATAAGTGGAAGCTGTCATTACCATTACCTTCCTCCTGATGATCCTCCCCGCCTACTCATTGTGACCTTGTGCATAGCCCTGAGACCAGCAGTGTACTGAATGCCCTCTCTGTACAAACCATCAGAAGATAAAGAAATAGAAGAGCGTGCTTCTTGCTCTGAAATAGGTTTTGACCCAATGTTTTTCTTATTTTTACCAAGATGCTCAGTTGCTAACAGATGCTCAATTGTTGTGAGAGTTTGTTTGTGTAGAGAACGGTGGGAACTTTTTCACCTCTGGCCCCATATTGTCAAAACATTGTGGAATAATAAAGGCTGCTCCGTTTCTACCTCTGCAGAGGAAGGAATCATCCTTATGGGGTGTCTTGTGTGTTTTTCTAGAAAGTTAGGTAGGGATAATTAAAATTTTAGTGTACATGTCAATGTAAAAATGAATGTGAAGTTGAGAAGCAAAAGATGGCGGTGTGAGAGGAGAGACAGAGGCTTCCTCCTAAAACTGGATACAAATAGAAAATTTATTTGGCGCAACTAATCCTGAGAGAGCAACAGGAAAGAGGATGTGTCAGACTGCATACACCTTGAGAAAAGAGCAGACCTCAGCAAATGGGGTAACGTACCAGAGCTGTGGCTCCTCAGGACCCGAACCCTTCCCCCACCCCAGCTCACCAGTGGGAGGAAGAGAAACAGAGCAGGGAGGGAGTGGAAGGCTTGGGACTGCTGAATACCTAACTCCTGAGATCTGCTCTGGGAGCACAGACCTACATTTCATGGAATTTTCATGAGACTCGCATGACTACCGGGTTGGAAAGTTAATACAGGCAGAGTTCCTGGGGAGACTGGGATTCCGGCTGCTTGTGGAAAGCAGGGATCCATATCTGGCTGCTCTGGGACAAAAACTTATACCTGTGTGCCCAGCCCACTGGCTCAGGCAGTGGAGACAGGCACAGGAGCCAGGAGGCGGTGAACAGCTCTTTCCTACCCCCAGTACCACTCCCCTGCAACCCCTGACATTGCTTCAGGGGCTCAGCAGCTCCAGAATAGAGCTTCTGGACACTAGAGGGCGACATACAGAACCATGAAACGCCAAAGGAACCTTGTCCAGAGTAAAATTGTTAAAACAACTCCTGAGAAAGATTTAAATGATATGGACCTCGTGACTCTTCCTGAAAAATGAACGTGAAGGCTTTTCATCTGGAAATTTTGTATTGTCATCCAAGAACCTCACGTGCAAATGATACATTATAGACTGATAGAAACTTTAGGCTATTTCGCAGTGTATGTCTGAAATCAATTTTAAATTTGGAAAGGATAAGACCATTCAATAAAGGAAAAAATAAATCTTATTTTCATCTTTAAAGAAAAAGATAACTTATAATCATGTTGCTCCCTTTTTTTTTTCTCCTTTTTTGGGTACATCTGTTAAATATCATCTGTGTTGCAGGGAATATGCTACATGCCAGAGAACAGGGAAGAATGGAGAATGTTTCCTTTCCATCAAGAGTTTATAAGGAATCAAAAACAATTGTACACAAGTAATTATAATTCATGGTGGACTGTATAGTAATAAAAAATGGTCAAATTTCTGTTGTACACATAGGAGGCTGAAACTCCCTTTAGAAAATTCCCTAATTGTCATTTTCTGATGTCATTGAAGCATTTATCTGTGATCAAATAACAATTTTTTTGTTTAGTGCTGTTGAGCTCTATGGATGAGCGTGGTGAGGGGAAGGTGGGGTGTTGCTTCTGTGTCTGAGACTTCTCTGTTATAAAAAATGGTGTATTCTCAAGCCTGAGGTACAGGGTTCACAAGTTCCACTTTTTGCTTCTGATGTGGGGAAGCCTCTATCTGCTTCTCTGAAATTAGAAAGTCTTGCAGAGAATTAAAAGAGCAGCACACCAAGGATTGGACAAAAGTTGCCTGAATTTAAGGCGAAGCCATTTAGGAAGAGACTGAGTATTGGTGTGGCCACCAGTCGCCCTTCTCTGATCTCAGAATTCTAGACCAGGTGAGAACAGACTGAAGCTGCCAGGTGAGGATCCAAGTCAAGTGTACCCGTTACTCCTTGCAACTCGTACCTGGAGAATATGGGAGACTGAGAAATCTTATCCTTGGTGCTCCACATTGAACTGGACACCCAGTCACAGGAGGGATAAGAAGCCCAGGCCCTGGGGATAAAGAGGCAGGGAGGAGGACTCACCCACATTGCTCCAGGTCAGGTCAGAAGAGTAAGCGAAGGTACAAGAGGTGTGGCCTACTTCGGACTTACTGGGGCCTTGAGAAACAATGTTTATGTCTCTCTAGCTATACATTACACATTTAGAAACAAGAATAATTCCAGGTCTCTAGGGTTCTATCTCCTATATAATTACCATCAAAGTAGACCAGATGGCATTGAAAAAACTGTAGCTAATTCACTGCACCTTGTCTCTGAAGTTTGACTCAGTGATTCATAGCCAGACTAAAACTAAGTCCACCTTGGTGTTTTATTCACTTGGCAAAGATGCCGAGAGGCCCTGAAAGCTGCTTATTAAACTAGATAGATTCTGGAATACTGTTGAATCCAAGCTGTCCCTTGGAGATCCTTCAGAGTATAATGGCACGAGCCCTCCCCTGCACAAATCCATCTGTTGGCCTGCTTCCCATGGCCCGGGATGAAAATATCTGTGAAGATATAAGGGTCAATGATATTTTACCTAAAATGACCTAAAAAATGTGCATACCCAGGAACTTCCACATAATCGTACACTGAAACCTAAAAAAGAGCTTACCTCAAGGAAATGTTATGTTTATTCTGGAGATGGGTGTTTTTTCGGTGTAGACCATGTATTTGAGTCTTCACTTAAAAAGACTTCACTTTTATCATATTGTTAACTCTTATAAAAAGCTTCCCTTAGGTGTTGCTGTCAGGTATTTAGAACAGAAAATACAGCCATAATTTCAGTCATACTCATTTCTTATTATAGTCTGAGATTCACATTTTGCTTTGCAGAAGAAGTTAGCTGCTATGCCTGACCACACAGATGTTTCCCTCAGCCCAGAAGAGCGAGTCCGTGTCCTGAGCAAGTTGGGCTGTAACATTGCCATCACTGAAGATATCGCCCCACGCCGCTACTTTAGATCTGGAGTAGAAATGGAGAGGATGGCATCTGTGTATTTGGAAGAAGGAAACTTGGAAAATGCCTTTGTTCTTTATAATAAATTTATAACGTAAGTCGTTTGTTTTGGAGACCTTTGACATGAGAAAATTGGGAAAATATTTACATGATATTTTAGTGAGACCATTTGGATGCCACGAATATTTTTATATGCAGACCAATCTTCCAAATCCAAAACGTATTAAATGTCCAAGTTTTTTAATTACCAGTTCATGTCTTCAAAGGCATCCCTTCCCATCTCTGAGGCTCAGTGATGGGATGAGACACAAAAATATTGGATAGCACTCAATAGGCCAACCCAGTAACCTGCATGTCTGTTTCTCTAATATTCTTCACAACTAAAGTATTTTGTTTCATGCCTTTCTCCCCACCCCCACCCCCAATGAAGGTAAGCTTTATGAAAGCAGAAGCCATTCTGATGCTCCATCTACAGCACTAGGAACACGTATTAACATTTTTAAAGTTTGATTTGATGGGTTGAGACTGGGGGATAAGTCCGAAGTCCTAGGAAGGATCTGATTTAGTTATAGAATGTAGCAGTTAGTTTCACACTGTAGTTAGTAACAAAGAAAAGGTAATTTATTTAGCTATGTGATAATGCTAGTATAAAAGAGCCTCCAAAATATTGAGTGGGTACCTCAGAACAGCCACATGAAAATATACTTCCCATTAGATTAGTATTTATTATCAATCCTAGCTTAAAAGTTAGCAGAAATGGGATTTGGACTTTCCTTATTATTTTGCTACTTTACTGGTTGGGAAGATCTGTTACCAATATTATTTAATCTAAGCTGAAACCCTTACTTTTGTTTTAGTTGAAAGTCACATGTTGACTAGTTTTATTGTTTCAGTTGGTGACTTAACCTGATAACATCAGAGAGGCTGATGGTTGGGAATGTTTAGCCTACATGGGAAAATCACTTGCTTCTAGAAAGTTAAACAGTAAATACGAAGTTGGAGGTCATCAATAGTCATTGCTTAGTATGTTTCCAAAAATTTCAATTTCTGAAATGTAGTTTACCAATTGATAATATTTCTTTTTCACCTTCTGCTCAAATTCTGTACACACTGCTATGGAATCTCAGTGTGGTAAAGGGGAAAGGTCCCTGTACTCTCTGAGTTAGGGAGTAACCAAAATATTTGAATTCTATTCTATCATTAATGATGTGATCATTTGTAGTTCATTTAACCTCTGATGGCTTCAGTTCCTTATCCACAAATGAAAGATTTATGGGTGAAAATCTCTAAGGTCTCTTCAACTCTAAATGTTTGTGGCTTTTTTATTATTTATAAAACTTTAGGCATCTAACATTTATGTAGCCTCCTTAAGCCTTAATTCTCTCATTTGAGAAATGGGGATTATGAGACCATATCCAGGCAAGATGATGAATACATGTGTTATTTGTAAACAACAGAACACCAGTAAATTATAAGGTATCAAATATTAGTTGATCAAAATAGTATTTACATCCCATCATGATCAAGGGAGGACTATTCATTTAACAGATATTTATTGAGCATGTATTATGAGCTGGACACTAGTCTACCAAAAAATCCATACATCAGTAAGGGATAAAAGCAGAATTCCCTGCCCTTGTGAAGCAATATCTATACTTTACCTGGAAGTGATGTACCTGCTGCAGGGATTTCCCTTTACTTCTGCTGTTCTTCATTTCTCAAAAAGGTGATGAGAAATAATGAACTCCTAGTTGCACCTACTGATCCACTAGGGATTCTGGCTGTCATTTCTCTCAGTTAACAAATTTTCTGTTAAAAGTTTCTGATACATGCACCATGGCACTCCTGATCCCTCAGCAGTCCTTTGGGTCTTTTTCAAAGATGAAAAAGGATTGCATCGATCTTCCCAAATGCTGAAATGTGTATATGATCCTCAGTGCTGCCAGCAGCATATAGGAGGTAATGCTCGGTGGGGTTAAGCATCCAGGACTAAGATCAAAGTGACACGGTCCATTTAGGGTGCATCCCTACTTCAGCACATAGTTTGCTGAGTTTAACTACCCTCAAATGCCAAAATCCATGCCAACCTTTAATGGGAAGGCAGATGGAAAGAATGTAGATTAAATGATAATTTACTGAAAATGTGCTTTTTGAAAAGGAGACTCATTCTCATGTTAGAAACCATCACTGAGCTCTTTCCATCATATAATGCTAAGGGTATGATTTCTTTCTCTAGCTTGTTTGTAGAAAAGCTCCCCAGCCATCGAGATTACCAGCAATGTGCAGTACCCGAAAAGCAGGATATTATGAAGGTATTGTGGGGTCAATGCTCCCCTGTGGGATTAAATGCTTACAAGCAGCCATTATTGATTCATCCCCCACTTTCTTTCCTCCTCTTTCTCATCCCCCTGAGAGTTTTAAGCACAAAAAATTCATTCCATTAGACATGGTATTTTGATTTCCACTTAGACCTTTAATCATCATTATTGAGCCAATGTGGGATGTCTAATTGAAACTGGGACGGACGTGGGGAGATGAAAAATGCGCTCAATCACTTTATGGTGTGAAGAAGGAATTATTTCACTAATCTTCCCAGAGATTGAGAGAATTGTCTATTTCCACACACTTGTTTGAAACAGTTCTGCTGGTTTTGATTATTCCATACAGTCCTGAACCCAAAAACTTTTTTAATATCTGTGATTATTAAGGCAGCCACAAAGTTCTAGTTACTTTCTTCTTACAGTACTAGCCTAATAAATAATAAAGTGTTTGGGAGTGAGCTGAAATATTCTCAAGGAAAAGGAAGCTTGTTGAAATGTTATTTATTTATCATCAACATTTGCACCATATATAGTTTCAAATATCTTCAGTAGAGGATATATACTTTTAACTAACTTTTTCCATTTATATGTCTTAAATAGTTTGGGTTGATTCTATATGAAGGAAGATAGAACAATATATATGAAGCTAATTACAGCATAAAATTTTAAAGACCTCTTAATATACAGTGGAATAAAGGCTCTCTTACCTTTTATGTCAGGCCTGAGGCTGCCCATAAGCAGAGTTCAGATTTTGTCAAATGGTCTGTTTATATTTTTTAAATTTTCTATAGAATCTATCTGAAGGGTTGTTCATTATCATTCCTTGTGTAGCATTTCCCCCTAGTTCTCTTGTTTATTCAACCTCAGAGAATTCTGTACAGAAACCAAAGGTCCCAGGCTGCCAAGATGATTCTTTTGCTCTAATTGAGGGTTATCCTTATTTTTACTTGTAGCAAAAAATACTAAAAGCATATACATTTGTTTATGTTTGTTGAATAAATGGATGGATGGATGGATGGATGGATGGATGGATGGATGGATGGATGGATGAATGAATGGATGGATGGCAGGCAGGCAAAATATGAAGAGAACAGCAATTTAAGTGGAAGAGCCTGGCTAGCATCGGGAGATTTGGATTCTAGCCATACGGGGCCACTAGCTACATGTATGATTCTAGACAAGCCTCTTAATCTCCCTAGGCCTTTTTTTCCTCATCTCTAAAACGGGGGGTGGTGCGTGTACTAAATTAGATTTTCCTGCCATTAAGAATCACTGGGAAGCTTTTTAAGACCCAGATTCCCAACTCCTTCCCTAAACATGTTGATTCAGTAGATCTGGGGTTAGGTCTGGGAATCTATAATCTTATCAAAAGTGTCTCAACAGCTTTTCACAGTCTGTCAAGCCTAGGAGCCCCTGCCTACTATGTTCTCCAATGTCCCTTCTCATGACAATGCCATATCATTACCTACTACGGAAGGTAGAGTTACAAACCCGCTACCTGCAAATGGGGTCCCTAGCTTAAAAAAGTGCTTATCTAACTAGTAGAGTCGATAAATGTCTTACAAAAGGGATAATGTTTTCCCTTCCCTACCGGAAAGTTATATTTTGGAGTCCTAGAAAAGAGAGGTTTATTTTTCTACCATCATCTTTGGTTACTTGTGTCTTGATTTCTAATACACATACCAGCTGATGATCTGAAAGACTATACTGAAAATCCCACTAATCAATATATATGTATATATTTTTAAAAGAAACTGAAGGAGATTGCATTCCCAAGGACAGATGAATTGAAAAAGGACCTTTTAAAGAAATATAACATAGAATACCAAGAATATTTGCAAAGCAAAGTAAGTTCAATTGGTACATTTATTTCATGACTGTTTTCTGTGCATTTTTTGAATTTCATTTTCATAAGAGTTTTCCAAGTGTCATGTGCATTTAAATTAAAAATTAAAGATGCAGTGATCTAAAACCAATAAAAAATTCATGTTGATGTCTGGGTTAAGCACTTGCACCAAAGATGTGGTATTTTGATTTCCCTATAACATGTAATAAAGTAATACATTAGAAAATAGATTTCCTACAGTGATTTTAAGTAGAGCTTTTTGACCAACTTGCCAATGTAACCTTGAGCCAGATGACTTCTCTTTGCTGATGAACAGAGGCATAGGAGGCGGAGAGAACAATATATGGTTTCCGATGTATCTAATTAGGTAGGCCTTGGAAATGGTGAGTTTGATTCTTAAATTTTACAGTCAATATTACATTATAATGGAATAACAGTAACCATATGAGTGAAATGTATCACCAGTGGGTGATGGCTTCTGGATTGCTATTAAATAAAATATGAAAATGGAGATGATGTCTAAAGAACTGAAAGGCATTTACAAAAGACATTGATTGAGCAGTCAGTGTATAGGATCTCAGGTTCAAAACTTGAATTCTTAATATTTATAACATTATTATACCAGTTGTCATGCTTTTTTTGTTTGATTGTGTATTTATGTGCTTTGTATGTTGTTACCTTTACTGACTCACACTCAGTCTAGTTCATTAACTCTGAACATGCTCAGAGACCTTTCCTACTTCCCGTGGGCAGAACTGGAAGTCTGAGTGAGGTGCTTTGATGAAATGTCAGGGAAAGGTGAAATCAGAAGAGTCCCTCATAGGGATACTGTTGATTTGGTTTGAGCTCTGAAAGCTGAAAATGACCTTGGGAGCTCAGACAAAGGAACAGCAAAAGGAAGAAAAGCCCAGCTCCGTGTCCCTTCACACCCAGCAGTGTGGATAGTCCTTCTGTCAGGGTCCCCACGAGCACAGCCTTTGCACGGTCTGCCTTTGGTGGCAGTAATGACTCACAGTCCACAATAGTATCCCAAGTAGATGACATGTAGACATGTCTTGGGGAAGAGAGCAGCAGACTTTATGCCGGGGAGAGATGAGCAAACATACCAGTAAGCCTTTGTGACAGGTGGCCCTGGCATCATCTGGAAGCCATTTAGAAATGCAGAATCTCAGGCCCCATGCCAGACCTGCTGAATCCCAGCTGGCCCTGTAACAAGACCCAGGATGATTCATGTGTGCATCAAAGAGCTGCTGTAAGCTCTATTCCCCACTCCGCCCCTACCTTACAGCAGCTTTCGAAGCCTAGTTTTCATCAAAACCATTTGGGGAGCTTGTTAAAGATTTATATTCTCTGACCTAATAATGCCTGGAACATTTAATTAAGACTGGGGAGGATAGGAATCGTCATTTTTGACAAAATTCCTGGTTCGTTCAGATAGAGATGATTGGACCACATTTTAAGAACCATTTCTTAGTGATTTCCCTTCTCCACAAAGTTCCCACAGCATGAGTTCCACAGACAAATGCAGGAGGTTCGAGGGTGGCCCTATACAGTAGGACGTCCTGGGACTGTGGAAATGATCCATTTGGCATTCCCTCATATGGGAGCCACTCACCACATGGTACCTAATAGGTAGATCTCACGACTGAGGAACTGAATTCCTAATTTCATTTCATTTTATTCATTTACATTTAAATAGCCCACGTGGCTAGTGGCTTCGCTACTGGGCAGTGCTGCCTAAGGTGACATGACTGTTTCTGAGATAATTGTGTACCATATAGTTTGATTGGTCAGGCTGAGCCAACAATCTTGACCTTGATTTTTTGATATTTAAAAGTGCAGAGGAATGGAGGGAACTTGATTGTCAAGGCCTATCTCTGGTAAAATATGAGTACATTTAGAACTGCTGCCTTCATCAGATTAAGGGGCTTTTGCCATGCTGTAGTATATTTTCCTCACTGTCCTGTAAGCGTCCCTGTGGGCTTATTGCTGTATCTAACTGTGTCTGTCTGCTAGCAGATTGCAAGTGTCTAACCCCAGTTTGATTTTTTTACCTTGGAAATTTACCGCTTATTCTGGCAACCACATTTTTTTTTAGAACAGATACAAAGCTGAAATTCTCAAAAAACTGGAGCATCAGAGATTGATAGAGGCAGAAAGGAAGCGGATCGCTCACATGCGCCAGCAGCAGCTAGAATCGGAGCAGTTTCTGTTCTTTGAAGATCAGCTCAAGAAGCAAGAATTAGCCCGGGGTCAGATGAGAAGCCAAGAAACCCCAGTGCTGTCAGAGCAGATTGACGGGAGCGCTTGCTCTTGCTTTCCCACACACCAGAACAATTCCCTGGCGAATGCATTTGCAGATCAACTTAATAGAAGTGATGCAACCAATTATTCTAGCCACTCTCCTCCTGTAAACAGGGCCTTAAAGCCAGCTGCTACTCTAAGTGCTGTTCAGAGTAAGTGATAAAATGCACCCCAGCAAGACATTGAATCTCTTCTAATGGACCATATTTCTGTAACATCCGGGGGGTTCTCCTCATTTCATTAATAATTGTGGTAGGACCCCTGCGTGCTGTGGTGTGAATGACAGCTAGGCTTCCAGTACCATCTGGCTTTCACTCTGTACAATCTTAAAACGCAGGAAACGTGATCAGCCCCCGCTAGAGCAGAGTCTCTATGATATAAACAGGACTGGATGTGGTCATGTGCAGAGATTTCAAAAGAGAAGATTTCTAGGCAAATTTTTTCTTTCATGTAGTTTAACCAAGAAACGCGTGACTCTTAAAGGTAAACACTTATACAGAGAGGAAAGAAGACATTGAGAAAAATTGTCCAGATCTTGGCTGAAGAATTTAAATGATTAGCATTTTCCTGCCCTGCAGGAGCTCATATACACAGGTGGTTAACCTCCAAGTGAGTTCTGTGTTTCTGCCAGTAGTTCGTGCTGCTTGATGCTGATGTATCATTGCTGGCAAGTTTCCGAGACTAAATAGGGGATTTTTCCATGCCGACACTGTCAGATGGAACTTGAGTTTCCATGTATTTTAAAAGAGTTACGATAGCCAGCCATTTTATGAAGTACTGTACTGCTAATTATTTCTGAAAACAGTGTTTTTACTTAATGATGACCAACTTTTATAAAGATATAAGTAACATAAGAAAAGCACAGTAAAAAATACTGACCCTGCGTCTTCCAGGCTATGAGATGCATGTAGTCTGTGCTTCCTGTGCACTTAGTAGTTTATTTGCTTTGTGCCAAAAGAAAACACACACATACATGTAAATAGATCTAGGGCACAAAGATATAAAAGTACTTGCACCTTCCCACTCGTTTATATAATAATTTATATGCAAAGTATAATTTTACCTTCCTTTTAGTTAATGTTTACTTTTGAGAGTTAAAAATTCGGAGAGTGGAGCACCTGTTGATTTCATTTTTTATATTTATATTGACCCAAAATTGCTTGTGAAAAACAGCTTGGAAGGATGGGGTATAAGATTGGTTTTTAGCTTTTTCTCTCTCTTCTGTTTCTTAGATTTAGTGATTGAAGGACTGAGATGTGTTGTTTTATCAAGGGATCTTTGCCACAAATTTCTGCTGCTGGCAGAGTCTAATACAGTGCGAGGAATAGAAACCTGTGGAATACTGTGCGGAAAACTGGTATGGTTTTTGTTTCATCTCTCTCTGCACATGATACTTTCAGTACTGCTGGCATTCTTGTGACAAGCAGGACAGAATAACAGTTTCCTAAGAGTTACAAATATTATGAAATTCTCCTTACATAGATCAGTTTCACACAGTCACTGTCCTTGCTAGTGGAATTATCCCAGAAAACAGATGGTAGCATTTCAAGGATACTATAAAAGCCCATTGTAAAGAATTAGTAAACCATATATTAAATCTTTGCTTAGAAAAGTGGTAGCTTACAGTTGTTCACATTTCCAAAACTATCTGGTTTTCTAAATCAAACATCCAGTGCAATTGTGAGTTTCACATATATTCATATAATTACCTCTTTTTATCTGAGACAGGTGTCATCTTGCCACCCTTTTTCAGACACTTGTGGAATAAAACTAGGTTTTTATTGTTTAGTTTAAGGCAGTAGTTTCAACAAACTGAAATCATATAGCACAGGTCATATTTAGGTATGGAAGACTTTATCAGAAATATGTGATGACAGACAATACCAAAATAGGGGGAGAAAAAAGACACAAGATGCACTTAATTTCCTGTTTGCAAGAAAGATGAATAATATTTCTTTGGGAGTGCCCTTTCATGGTTACTTTTCGGTATTAGTTGGTATTTCTGGGTCCAAGTACAGTTTCCTTCCTAAACATTTAGCTTGGGGACATTGTTTAGTTGAATATACGTTTTATTCAGCACACATTCTCCCACTGTATTCTAGTGGTGCATGATGACTTCCTCCAGGAGAGGGGAAGCCCAGATGACATGCACGGCAGAATAACCTGCCATCTCCTGCCCACCTAATTTTCCTTTTGAGGGGCAGTGTGCTGTGGATGATCCCTCCTCAAGAGCATCTGTTGCACTCAGTTTGATTGATTCATTCGTTGATTCATTTATTTTTCCTTCATTCCTTCATGGACAGACATTCACTGAGTACCTGTATATTCCAGGTACTGTGCTCGGTGTTGGCACTTGGTTGACTACAACAGCCACAGTCTGTGCCACGTAGCTCTTACATGATGCTTGCGGAGGACCAGATAGATGACTGATCAGAGATGGGCCTGGGTGCTCTCAGGGGACCATGTAGCTGGGAAGCTAACCTTGTCTGGGGGGGGACCAAGAAGGGCTTCCCTGAAAAGTGATATGTACACTACACCTGGAAAATACAGAAAGTAAGCCAGGAAAGGAGGGCAGGCTGGAGTGAAGAGTTGCAGCCAAGATGGAAGGAATCTGCCCAGTGTGCAGGGAGCCCTAGGGCCGGAGAGAAGTGGGACTGCAGAGGGAAGGATGGCCACTGACCACCCAAACAGCTCTTGCCTGAGGATCCAACCGCCAATGCACAACCCTGTTCCTCTCAACTCTTCTCTTTCCTGAGGGAAGTGATTTGTTTCTCCTTTCTCTTTATCTGGTTGCAAATCCAAAACAATACCCTAATTCTGGAAAATTCCAGTGAGTCCTCCCCATACTAGAAGAAAGTTATAAGTCTTGAAGTAAAATGAAATGTAATTAACAAGATAAAAACAATACCATCAACCCTACAAACCTCAGAAATGATCTTCAGTAAAGCCACAGAATTTTTTAACTGTATCTCCCCCACCAGATAAACCTTCTGCTGTTTTGTTCTGATTTTTTTTCCACTGCAGATGTCATATATCAAGACATTATTTAGTAACCAAACTTTCATGCTCCAGCGTGGAATGCCAGTTCCTCTTTATGATACATTCTCTATTGCAAAAATAGGTTTCAAGTTCCAAGCAACTAACTCTCAAAAGTTTTGGCAAATAATCCATTTTCAAGCTTGAGGCTTTGTTCTGAATTGTGACAGGCTAGGAGGAGGAGATTGGACACTGGGGGACGCTCTCTAGTGTTCTAGCAAAATACTGCACTTCCTTCTCAGGATTTGTTTGTTTTTGTGTCACACGCTTGTTATTCTTATTGCTGATTGTTTTCTAGACGCATAATGAATTTACTATTACCCACGTAATCGTGCCAAAGCAGTCTGCAGGACCAGACTACTGTGACGTGGAGAATGTAGAAGAATTATTCAGTGTTCAGGATCAACACGATCTCCTCACTCTGGGATGGATCCATGTACGTTTGACCTTTGGGTTTCAGTTTGTTTTTTTACCAAGGCGCTGTTTTCCTCCTTGAGGAAATCTAGCTTAGTTTAAATCATTTCTTATTCTTAATTTTTTTCCCAGTGGAAATGGAGATTTCCAGAAAATTCCATTTTCTTCTATGTGCGGCACTGTCTAAATCTGTCAGGTCTGGAGTTGCAGAAGGCTATAGTATGCTTTTTCCTACCACCCAAAGTTAGAAGAGCAAGAAACATTTAGAAAAGGAGTGAGTTGTTCTGGTGATTTTATGTAGTGGAATGGAGGCCTAACCAAATTTTTAACTAATTTGACCAGACATTGATTACTGTTCTTTCCTTTCGGCCATGGGTCTAAAGTAGTTAAGAAAATTTCTCAAAGTGTTATTTTTTTAAACAGGTGTTTGTACACATCAAATACGGACCTTACACTCTACTGCACCTCCCCTACAGACCAAGAATGAGTCTATTATTTTATACAGCCCCAGAGTAGGGCCAAAGGGATGGGGCCCAAAATAGTGATTCCAACATCCACCAGGCCATCATAGGAACAAGAAAGGGCTGAAGAACTCAGAGACAAGCTTAAATCTCAGCTCTGCTAAGAATTCTTTATAGGAACATTGGCAAGTTAAGCAATCTGAGCATCAACTTTATCATCCATGAAACGGGAATCATAATAATTGATGTCATGTGACAGCAACTACTAAATGAGGTAATGTCAGTGAATTCCTCAGCTTATTTTTCTAGGAACTTGAAAATTGTAGCGAATTCCTCAGCTTATTTTTCTAGGAACTTGAAAATTGTAGCTGTTGGTTTTGGTGATATACTCTACTTTTCCTATCCATGGTTTAATCTGTCCAGAGGACATTTTATTCCATCACACACATCGGGGCCTGAGGTAGGGACAAATCATAACACTGTCATGGAATGCTGGCCAAGATTTTCATACCCTGGGGACTTCCAAGAGCACTTGAAGACAGAGTAATGACCATTTTTTAAATCTTACTTGCCTAATAGAGTGGCACTGAGTAAGGGCAGAACACACACCCAGACCCACACTGACACCAGTCACCCTCCCACCCCCCAGGCCACAAATCATCAGGCTTTTGGTGATACATCATTTAGGAAGGTGGAGGAGACCTTTGTCCCAGCTCCACTTGTAAATTACTCTGTGCCCTTCGTTGGGAGACCTTGTTTCCAGGTCCCTCACTGACCCAGTGGGGTTAATGAACGCCGTTTTTCCTGCACTGGATTTGAGTGAGCCGTAAACAAGACACCTGGTGTGAAAGCCCTTTGGAAAGTATAAACTGCCTTTCGGATGCAAGAAATTATTTATAACGAAGAGTTTGTAGAATTTTCCATATGTCTCTCTCTTTGTTTTACTTAACAGTAAGTAATGTGCCTCATTCTTTGCTTAGAAATTGCTGAATTTTAAAGGCATTGTTAGGTTTGACATGATTTTCTGTAATAGGAATGCATTTTAAAGCAAAATAAATAGAAGCAAAGAATTGTAATATACGCTGGTAAAGAATGGAAGTCCCTTAAACTATATCTATGTTGTAAAGTCAGTGTTAGTTTTTCCTTCATTTCCCTAACTAGAGACAAGCTTTTTCCCGTTACAACTGTGTGTATACAAAGCATGCAATAATGAAGTTAAGTCATTAAATAGTGAATTTGGCATGATTTTAGAATTCTAGGGATATGCTTTTTGTTTATCTCATCATATCAAATTGTTGTGGTTCAAGGAAAACACCAAAATATTATATTTCTAACCTTCAGTGTTTGTGATAACCTTTATTGTCATGATACTAGCAACAGATGCCAGAGCTAACTTTTTTCAGATATACATTAGTCATAGGAAACAAGAGCTGAATGAGAATCAGACAGTGCTGGATCTGAGTTTAGACTTCCCAGCTAAACTAACTCCTTGACCTTCAGCCCCCCTATTTACTTTGCTGCTTAACTGAGTTCCCTCATCTGTAAAGTGGGGATAATGATAGCATGTATCTGATTGTTGTAATAATGAAATAAGATAATTCGAGGAAAGTGATTAGTTCAGTGCCTGCACATTATCTATCCCGAGGCAGTAAATGGCACACATTGCTGTCATCACCGTCATCATTCTGATTCCCATAGAGTAGGGGGTCAGGTGGGAGCACCATTCTCCCATGGAGACCAATCTTTATTGGAGCAAAAGTGACTCCTCCTGGAAGAAATGAAGGGCTCGAATGTCTTACAGTGCATATTCTGTCTGGAAAGAAATTTGCAGGCGAGGGATTTGTCTATTTGACAATCTGCTTGCTTCCTCCACAGCGCTAAAGTTCTTTGAACACTTCTACTTTCTCACCAAAGCATAAAAGGTCCTAGGTACTAATAGAAGGTTTTCACTGAATCAGATACTAAGAAATCATGCCCTCCGGCTGGTCCCCTCACTAACATTTGGGTTTTAAGAATTAGTGTGATTTCCATTCCTCAGTTGATCCAGGTCTTTGCAGACCAAGAGTTGTTTTTTCATTGAAGAAACATGTACCTTTCTGTAAATAAATATCAGCAGATTGTACCTTCATTTTATTAAACTAGAATGGAGTTTTAAAATCTTGCATTTCTTCAACTGACCATAGTTAATGTGTAAAGCCATGAAGCTGTTTCTCCAGGCCTCTGCCCTTTAGTTAACAATGGCAATATTAAAATAATGACAGTAATAAACACAGCAATAATAACAGCTAATGATTTTGAGTCCTGTGTGCTAGGTACTATTCTAAGAATTTTATACAGATTATCTGATTTAATTTTATAACAACCCCACAAAAAAAATAATTATTATCCTTATTTTACAGTTAATGAAATGAGTATGAGGAGGTTAAATAATCTTAGCAGTATCATAGAGCTAGTGAGTGATGGAGACAGGACCCAGACAATGATGCCAAGGACCTTGGTTTCATGATTCAAATGGTGGCACTCCTTTCTCCAGGGTAATTGAGATCTACTGTGAATTTTAAGATCATTATGGGTGCATAGATCTTCATTCTCACGGATGAACCTCTTATTTGTCTGTCATAAACATGAGTTTGTATACAGTCAAAAACCAGGAAGATACTTCTTTTCATTTATAATCTGCCTTCTGCCACACCATATAGGTATTAACTGGCTGTACCAACTGAGTCCCAGACACTTGTAGCAACTTGGAGACTTTTGTTCTCCTCTTGTAGGGAATGGCGATCCATAAAAAGGATGCACAGCCACATGTGGTCAACCTAGTGGAAGCTTCCCTGCTGTGTCCGTGGTTTTGCATAAAGTAGCTCTGGGTTTCTAGTCACAGCTGTGCTTGTGTGTAACCACGGGCAAGTCACTGCTAGGAACCTCAGAATCCTTGTTTGCAAAACTGAGAGAATAATACAAGTAGCTCCTGGATGAGTTGTGATGATTAAATGAGAGATTATCTAAAGCCTCTGACAAATTAATTTCCAGTTCTGTCTTTCCCTATAACAGAAAGTGTGTGACTACTCCCAAACCTCTTCTCAAAATCCTGGTTATCCCAGAGCCTATGAAGGGAAGGATTCTGTCAGCAAGACATTTTTAAAAGTCCTTATTTAATGATGATAAGAAAGAAAAGGAAAATAACTAGGATTTCCTCCTAGCATGGACCATGGCCAAGGCACAGCCCCCCTCATAAGACTGCCCTCTTTTTTTTTTGACAGACACATCCAACCCAGACTGCATTCTTATCCAGTGTTGACCTGCACACTCACTGTTCCTATCAGCTCATGCTGCCAGAGGCGATTGCTATTGTTTGCTCACCAAAGCATAAAGAGTAAGTGTAACTGGAGAGAGCGTCCAAGGAAGGCTTTATCTTGTCTAAGGCTTCTGGGTTGAAGTGTGCCTACACACTAAGCTGTGTGCTTGGATAGGAAAGCACACTGTGCCTTTGGGAAGAAAGAGATTAGTGCCAGCCAGCTCCCATGTACCTCAGCTCTGCTGTCTTTTAAAGGTCCTTTCAGTGATAAAATTGCTGGTTCTCTTTCTTTAGTTAGCATGCTCTGAAAGTGGATAAACTCCATGTTATTCTAGTTTACTATTTGAGATCTTAGTTCTACTGTATTTCCTGTTGTAAGAAAATTTCCAGCCTTAGCATAATTACCTCCAAACCCTTTCTAGGTATGAGAGTATGGTAAAAATGGAAGTTGCTATGGCTAGGATCCTCACCTGACCCTAAACTACTTGATGATGTAATTGGCCTACTGCTAGGCTAGGGCTTCCACACCCATAGGCAATAAACTATTATTGACTGAATTACTACATAAAGCCCAGTGCTCTGGGTGGAGGCAGAGATGGAGGTGGATTGTGGATCTGCACACTGCTGGATGCAGACATGATCCTAGTGCTTAACCAACCACCAGGAGACTAAAGCCGGGTATAAACCCTTTTACCCCAAGAATGTTCCAATGTCATTTCTCTGTCTCACTAAATCCATAGTGAGACAGCGCAGGGCTGAAACCCTCAGGTGAGACAGGGATTATTGTAGAGTGATTATAAGCAGAGGAATTCAACAAACTAATAGTGGAATCCTGCTGCACCCTCAGGCGGTAAGTTTTAGCAGGATACCTGACCACTGTGAGTCTCGGCTCTTCATCTCTGCCACCTGCCCATCACAGATTGATGCAAAGCCAAAACTAGGTGACAGTCTATATAAATAGCTTACCATAGGGCTAGCACCACAGCCAGCCCTCAGCACATATTTGCTGTTGCTGTTAACAGTATTAGCATTATTAGAAAAAGAAGAAATATCTGCCACCTGCCATTTCCTCCCAGGGTCTTGGCTTTTCCTCTCTGGGCTCAGCTGCCTCTTGCCCATTATAGTCCTGCAGCTGCTTGGAGTTAGCATTGGCGCCTGTGGGGTTTCTCTGCTATAAACCAGTCATTGCACAATTGGTTTAAAAAGTCACCATGGAATTCTTAGTTTGTAGTTTCTTTCTCCATCCCATTTGAGGAATATGTATGCTTGTGCCATTCAAATAAAGCACCTGGAAAGCCCAAATGAACCTAAATTTTTGTACCTTTTTTTTTTTTTCATCATAAAACCAAGCACCGGCATCTTCAGGCTCACCAATGCTGGCATGCTCGAGGTTTCTGCTTGTAAAAAGAAGGGCTTTCATCCGCACACCAGGGACCCCAGGCTGTTCAGCGTGAGTAGACAGTGTTGGATATTTTGCACAGATATTTACTTTTCATATTCTCCCTTTTTTTCTCAAGGAGAGAAAGAGTAACCATATAGTATAAGATAAAACACTGTATTGCTTAGTTTGGAGTTGTCTTATCCAGAGAATTAACCAATTTTTGTACTTTCTTCAGATTTCCTCTATCATTTTGTTTACAAGGGAATGCCAGTATTTCTGTAGCAGAGTTGATGGTGTATAACTTACTTCCATTTACATATCCATGTGATACTTACAGAAATAATTTTATTCAGACTCCAAGTAAGCAAATAATTATTAAATAAAATGATACTAAGTGTCTCATGAATCATTTGTGCTTGATGTGGCCGCATTCATTTTTTATAACAGTTCAATGAAAACTGTAATCATACATTTTGATTAGCTCTATATAGCCCCACATAAACATTATTTGACTACATCTTTTCTTTCTTATTACTTGTTTGGTGGTTCTTTGGCTGTAACACCAGAGACACATTATTTTGAAGTTTGAATTTATTTACAAAGAAAATTACTTGGCAACCTTTGCAAATATTTTCTTGTTGAAAATGGATAAACATGATTGTCTTTGTTCTGATTGGAAATATTTTTAAAATGAGGGATGTTTTAAACTTAGGAAGTTCACAGCCTCCTCCCTCAAGTGAATCATGGTAAATATAATGGCATAAAATCAATTTTTTTCTTTAATAGATATGCAAGCATGTGTTGGTAAAAGACATAAAAATAATCATACTGGATCTGAGGTGATATGTTCCGAAGATGAGCACCTTCCACACCAGGCTCCTACCCATGGACATGTGGTTGCCAGGTTTTCTTAAGATGTTTCCAGAAGTGACTGGTATTTTATATTTATACATTTTAGATCAGGAAGTTTGATATTTATTGCTCTTGCACATTTGGAAGTTTTATTTTTGGGTTGCTCTGTCTCAAGAGATGTCACCATGGTGTTAAATCAATACTGTGAATGTTACCCAAATACTATGACCAGATAATAAATTGTGCTGCAAATAACATGTCCAGTGTTTGTAAGAGGCCCGCATACATTTTCAGAGCTTTAGGTGTTTCACTGTATTTCTTTTCTCTCATTCTTGTAAACTATAATTCCAAGTAAGAAATTCTGAGTTCCAGGTGGTCTCCAAGACAGGCCATCTGTTTCTGCAAACTTCCCTGGGGTAGACGCATCCTTAGAGGAGTGGGCATTCTTGGCATTTTCATTTCCTCACAAGGCAAAGCAAGAGCTCAGGTTTGCGGTAAAGTGTGAAGAGGTCTGAACCGGGAAGTGGCTTCTTTATTGCCAAATACACATCCAGTTAACCAGACTTCCCGGGGGGACTTGTCACAGAGTGAAGGATCCCTGGAGGCAGCAAGCCAGTGATGTGCCCTTGCCCGGCAGAATGAGGTCCGGAAGCTGTGTGTCTCCAAGAACTATGAGCAGCGTGGCTGCGCCAGTGAGGGATGAACAGGCTGGAGGAAGAGCCCAGGGCGGCTCACGCGAGCATATGTGCCGCGTGGGCGAGGCTGTGCCACCAGCGTGCCTTGGATGAGCTGCTTTCCAATGAGCTCGCTGCCAAGCAGCCGGCAGCCAGGCGCCCTCTTTTGAATATGAATCAGTTCCAGAGCCCCATGTGCCACTTCCCTGTGTCCTAAGGTAATGATAGTTCATTTCTTCTCGGGTTTGCTTTTCTGTGGAAAATGAACAAAGTCTGAGCTCTCTCTGGTTTTCAGTGCTCGTCTGTTTAGGATCCTCACCTGACCCTAAACTACTTGATGATGTAATTGGCCTACTGCTAGGCTAGGGCTTCCACACCCATAGGCAATAAACTATTATTGACTGAATTACTACATAAAGCCCAGTGCTCTGGGTGGAGGCAGAGATGGAGGTGGATTGTGGATCTGCACACTGCTGGATGCAGACATGATCCTAGTGCTTAACCAACCACCAGGAGACTAAAGCCGGGTATAAACCCTTTTACCCCAAGAATGTTCCAATGTCATTTCTCTGTCTCACTAAATCCATAGTGAGACAGCGCAGGGCTGAAACCCTCAGGTGAGACAGGGATTATTGTAGAGTGATTATAAGCAGAGGAATTCAACAAACTAATAGTGGAATCCTGCTGCACCCTCAGGCGGTAAGTTTTAGCAGGATACCTGACCACTGTGAGTCTCGGCTCTTCATCTCTGCCACCTGCCCATCACAGATTGATGCAAAGCCAAAACTAGGTGACAGTCTATATAAATAGCTTACCATAGGGCTAGCACCACAGCCAGCCCTCAGCACATATTTGCTGTTGCTGTTAACAGTATTAGCATTATTAGAAAAAGAAGAAATATCTGCCACCTGCCATTTCCTCCCAGGGTCTTGGCTTTTCCTCTCTGGGCTCAGCTGCCTCTTGCCCATTATAGTCCTGCAGCTGCTTGGAGTTAGCATTGGCGCCTGTGGGGTTTCTCTGCTATAAACCAGTCATTGCACAATTGGTTTAAAAAGTCACCATGGAATTCTTAGTTTGTAGTTTCTTTCTCCATCCCATTTGAGGAATATGTATGCTTGTGCCATTCAAATAAAGCACCTGGAAAGCCCAAATGAACCTAAATTTTTGTACCTTTTTTTTTTTTTCATCATAAAACCAAGCACCGGCATCTTCAGGCTCACCAATGCTGGCATGCTCGAGGTTTCTGCTTGTAAAAAGAAGGGCTTTCATCCGCACACCAGGGACCCCAGGCTGTTCAGCGTGAGTAGACAGTGTTGGATATTTTGCACAGATATTTACTTTTCATATTCTCCCTTTTTTTCTCAAGGAGAGAAAGAGTAACCATATAGTATAAGATAAAACACTGTATTGCTTAGTTTGGAGTTGTCTTATCCAGAGAATTAACCAATTTTTGTACTTTCTTCAGATTTCCTCTATCATTTTGTTTACAAGGGAATGCCAGTATTTCTGTAGCAGAGTTGATGGTGTATAACTTACTTCCATTTACATATCCATGTGATACTTACAGAAATAATTTTATTCAGACTCCAAGTAAGCAAATAATTATTAAATAAAATGATACTAAGTGTCTCATGAATCATTTGTGCTTGATGTGGCCGCATTCATTTTTTATAACAGTTCAATGAAAACTGTAATCATACATTTTGATTAGCTCTATATAGCCCCACATAAACATTATTTGACTACATCTTTTCTTTCTTATTACTTGTTTGGTGGTTCTTTGGCTGTAACACCAGAGACACATTATTTTGAAGTTTGAATTTATTTACAAAGAAAATTACTTGGCAACCTTTGCAAATATTTTCTTGTTGAAAATGGATAAACATGATTGTCTTTGTTCTGATTGGAAATATTTTTAAAATGAGGGATGTTTTAAACTTAGGAAGTTCACAGCCTCCTCCCTCAAGTGAATCATGGTAAATATAATGGCATAAAATCAATTTTTTTCTTTAATAGATATGCAAGCATGTGTTGGTAAAAGACATAAAAATAATCATACTGGATCTGAGGTGATATGTTCCGAAGATGAGCACCTTCCACACCAGGCTCCTACCCATGGACATGTGGTTGCCAGGTTTTCTTAAGATGTTTCCAGAAGTGACTGGTATTTTATATTTATACATTTTAGATCAGGAAGTTTGATATTTATTGCTCTTGCACATTTGGAAGTTTTATTTTTGGGTTGCTCTGTCTCAAGAGATGTCACCATGGTGTTAAATCAATACTGTGAATGTTACCCAAATACTATGACCAGATAATAAATTGTGCTGCAAATAACATGTCCAGTGTTTGTAAGAGGCCCGCATACATTTTCAGAGCTTTAGGTGTTTCACTGTATTTCTTTTCTCTCATTCTTGTAAACTATAATTCCAAGTAAGAAATTCTGAGTTCCAGGTGGTCTCCAAGACAGGCCATCTGTTTCTGCAAACTTCCCTGGGGTAGACGCATCCTTAGAGGAGTGGGCATTCTTGGCATTTTCATTTCCTCACAAGGCAAAGCAAGAGCTCAGGTTTGCGGTAAAGTGTGAAGAGGTCTGAACCGGGAAGTGGCTTCTTTATTGCCAAATACACATCCAGTTAACCAGACTTCCCGGGGGGACTTGTCACAGAGTGAAGGATCCCTGGAGGCAGCAAGCCAGTGATGTGCCCTTGCCCGGCAGAATGAGGTCCGGAAGCTGTGTGTCTCCAAGAACTATGAGCAGCGTGGCTGCGCCAGTGAGGGATGAACAGGCTGGAGGAAGAGCCCAGGGCGGCTCACGCGAGCATATGTGCCGCGTGGGCGAGGCTGTGCCACCAGCGTGCCTTGGATGAGCTGCTTTCCAATGAGCTCGCTGCCAAGCAGCCGGCAGCCAGGCGCCCTCTTTTGAATATGAATCAGTTCCAGAGCCCCATGTGCCACTTCCCTGTGTCCTAAGGTAATGATAGTTCATTTCTTCTCGGGTTTGCTTTTCTGTGGAAAATGAACAAAGTCTGAGCTCTCTCTGGTTTTCAGTGCTCGTCTGTTTGTCCTCGGTGCCCGGCAGCCAGTGTGTACTTGCTATGGTCTGAATAGTGCCCCCCAGTCACACGCTGAAGTCCCGACCCCCCAGCACCTCAGAATGTGACTGTGTGTGGAGACAGAGCCTTTAAAGAGGGAACAACATCAACATGCGGTCATGTGTGTGGGCTGTAACCCCACACGGCTGGTGTCCTCGGAGGGAAAGATTACAGCACAGACACATGGGAGGAGGACCGCACGAAGACGCAGGGAGAAGATGGCCATTTCCAAGCTCTCTAAGAAACCAAACCTGCCAACACCTTGATGTCTGACTTCTGGCCTCCAGAACTGGTAGAAAATAAATGTCTGTTGTTTAAGCCACTCAGTCTGTGGTGTTTTGTTATGACAGCCCAAGCAGCCTAATACGGTCTTAATAAATACTTCCTTAGGTTGCCGTTTGTTTCCTTTTTCCTCACAGACAGAATGAAATGACTTTCCTTGTTGTCACACAGAAATCACTCTCTTCTCCATAAGATCCTGTCAGTCATAAAAGAGCAAAGCAGGATGTCTGTGAGTTATTCTCAGCAACTGAAATTATTCTTGGATTCTTTATAGTAGAATTTTGTTTGCAGAGACACTGGCAAATGTTTGAGGTACAATGTTAGGTAAGGCCACATCCTAGAATTGGTTCAGTATTCCCCCGTAGTCTGTTCCATGCTGCAGCCATGGGTCATGCTAGTGACTATTATTACGATGCTTTGAAATTAAGTTGAGGTTTCTGTTGTGCTGCCAACTACGGGGCTTCCAAATGTGGAAAGTAGGTGTTTCTCTTCAGGCACATCTTGCAGAATTGACTAGCAAGAGAATAACTTGTGTGAAGAGGATGCTTGAGGAATGTCTTGTATTTGATTATGATAAAGGAGAAAGGGTAGACTTTCAGCTCCTTTTCCTTGAAAGAATTTGGTTTGTTATTAATCATGAAGACAACACATATGCAAAGAATTCCTCTGTTCCTTTAAGAAACTTGTCTCCTTTTTTAGTATCTTGGCTCTTCATGACACAAGAATATATTTTCCTTGGGGACAGATGACAAAAACATTATTTAGCGGTTCTTGGAGATTCATCAGACTGATGTCCAAGAAGACACTTTTTTAAATGATCAAAAAGGCATGTCTTAATTTGGGTTGCCATGACAAAAATACCATAAAGTGGGTGATTTAAAACAGCAAACAGTTTTTCCCCCCTCATCCCACCACCTCTAAGCAACAAACATTTATTTCTCACAGTTCCGGAGGCTCGAAGTCTGAGGTCAGAGTGCCAGCATGGGGCGGCTCTTCCTGGTTTGCCAGAGCTGCCTTCTGACTGTGTCCTCACATGGTGGAGAAGAGATCATCTCTCATGTCTCCTCTTTTAAGGGAGTAATCCCTTCATCAGAGCTACCCCCTCCCAAAGGCCCCATTTCCAAATATACCATCACAATGGAGATTGAGTTCAACATATGAATTTTAGGGTGTGTGACGGGGACACATTCAGTCCATAGCAAGGCAAGTCCCAAAAAGCTCATGTTCTGTCTGTTTGCAATACTATATGGAAGCTCTGCTATCCATCTCCTAAGATCACATACTTACTGTTTTTAAAAAGAACAATTCAGATGAGAATATGAATAGCTATTATATTCTATTCCCCCCGATCTCTTGTTAAAATGCTTTCAGATAGATTTAAGGAATTACTCATAAAGAACATAGTTTTCAAAAAGAATTGCTAATGGATTAAATCATACTGGGTGTTAGATTCTAATACCCAGTTCTTAACGGAAGAGCAAACTTCCTAAGAAGAAAGGGTTTTTAACTATTTATTTTATATTAATACTGGTATAATTATGCTTTTAATTTTTTTAAGATTTTTATAATTCAAGGAATTTAATGAAATTCACATTCATATATGTTTAAATAATCAGAGGAAAGCTAGAAAAATAGAAAAGATGAAGAAAATCCAGAGAAGAGAGTATTATTTAAAAAGGCAACTACAGTTGATCCTTGAATACAACAGATTCAAACTGAGGGTCCACTTTACACACAGGTATTTTTCAGTAAATATATTGGAAAATTTTTTTGAAGAGTTGCAAATATTTGAAAGAAACATTTTCTTCTCTTCAGCTTACTTTGGTGGAAGAGCATGGTATATAATACATATAACATAAAAAATTTGTGTTAATTGACTTTATATTAGTGGTAAGTCTTTAAGTCAACAGCAGGCTACTTAGTAAAGTTTTTGGAGAGTAAAAAGTTACTCAGATTTCCATCTGCCCAGGGGGTCTGCCCCAAGCCTCCTATGATTCATGGGTCAGTGAGCATGTAGTTACATTAGTTATACTCTTGTAGTTATACTTCTAAGGTCTGTCACTGTGGCTTCCTAGAATTCAGGGTGGCCTTAGGGTGGTACAGAGGGCGAGAGATAGAAAACAGAGTAACAGGCAATGTGGGAAGGTAAAATTAAGAGCATTGTGGACTGCTTTACTGATTTGTTTGAAATAACTCCTTTGGACACTATCTAGACCAAAGACATACTAAAACCAAATGAAGATAATTTTTTTAACCTCCGTCAAGGAGGATTGCCTATACATTTGTACCAGGTAAATAAGAGTTAACTGTGAAACATTGTTTACTCAAATTAGTCCCTATCCAGGTGAGTCCTAGATTTACTGATGGAATGAGTGGTTAGAGTGTAATTCCTGAGTCTAAAGAGGATGTTTAAAACGCCTCTCCACAGTTATTCCAGTAGAAAAAAAGCATTTACAGATGGTTCAAAAACTGTGTTTCCTCCTTATACAAGGCTGGCGGACAAGGAAATACCACACAACCAGAGAGATATGCTCTGTTCTTGACCTCAGGCAAGATTTCCTTACCTACAGAAATGAGGTATATGAATTACTGATTTAACAGGTTCCTTTCCACAGTAAAATTTCATGCTTACTGAAATCTTTGCCAAGGCAATATGTTATTTTTAATTTTTTAATTAAAAAATTAATTCATTGAAGTGCAATTCACATAACACAAAATTAACTATATTAAAGTAAGCAATTCAGTAGCATTTAGTCCATTCACAGAGCTGTGCAACCATAGCTAGTTCCAGGACCTTACCACCGCTCTGGAGTGAAACCCCTTACCCAGTGGGCTGTTTTCCCCACTCCCTGCCCCCCAGCCCCCGGCAGCCACTGATCTGCTGTCTGTCTCTATGGATTTATCTCCTCTGGATATCTCACATAATTGGAATCAAACAATATGTGAACTTTTGTGTTTGGGTTCTCACACATTTTGAAGATTCATCCATGTTGTACCCTGTATCACTACTTTATTCCTCTTATAACCAGTATTTCATTGCATGTATATACCATAATTTGTTTATCCATTCATCCAATGATGGACCACTGGGCTCTTTCCTCCTTTTGGCTACTGTGAATAGCGCTGCAGTGTACATGCACGTGCATTTATTTACGAATACCTGTTTTCATTTCTTGTGGCTACACACCTAGAAGCAGAATGGCAAGGTCATATGGTGTAATTTTATATTCAGCTTTTTGAGGGACCACCAAAGCATTTGCCACAGCAGCTAAACCATTTTACATGTCCACCAGCAGTATACCAGGGCAGGGTTCCAAGTTCTCTACGTGCTTGCCAAAAACTTCTGAACCATAGCCATTTGAGTAGGTGTGAAGTCGTATCACACTGTGGTTCTGACAGAGCTCTCCATTACTGACTTCATTCTTTTAAAGTCAAATTTTAATGAAATCTGTTAGTGATGAGGACGCCTGAGGCTTCTTCCTGGACCCACTGTCGTCACACTCCTGTTGTTGTGGGACACCAGCCCAAGCCTTTATCAAGTTCACGAGAACCATGGGTTAAAGAATAATTTTATCAAGGGTATTCAATTCTTGGACAGGGAGGGTTAGAAATACAGAAGAAAGAACCACCCGCAAGCAGCACCCCACATTCTGCCTCTGCTTCCAGTAAACTCAGAGGCTGATGCTTTCATAAGGGCGAAGACTACAGCTGTCGGAGCAGCCAACTGAAATCACAGACTTTTTCTTGCTTTAGCAACAAGGCTAGTTCTTAACTGGAAAGGTAGACTTCACCTGCTTCATACATATTTTGCCTAAGGAGGTGATGCCATTTTGTATAGGAAGACCTGAGGTTCAATATTAGGCCATTTCTGAAGGAGTGTCAGGTTGTAGCACATGCAGTGAGATCTAAAGAGGAAAGGAGGTCATCTATCCGATAATGAGAGGACAGAGGAATAAATCTCTAAGCTAAGTGTGGAGGGAAGGAAATAGAAGACGTGATATAAGAATACGAAAGGAACATTTTTTTGACTTGGTGTGTTCTACAGGCCATGTATTTTTCTCCAAGGATAGGAAGGTCACTTAAGGACATCTGAGCTTTAGGCCTCAGAAAGATTGTCAACTACACTAGGTAGGAGCCTGTTTCATCATTGCTTTTCCTTGAAGATAGCATGTTACAAAATCAATCTGGCAAATTGTAGTCATTTCTAGTCCCTTGTCTTTTAGAGGGTGTGAAGTTACTACAAAAACATTCTGGAATAGCTGTAGCCATCAAGAACAAATAGCATGAGAGATGTTCGGGTGTTCATTTCCCACATACATTTCTGAAAATGAGATGAAGAATTCAATTAGCCTATAGGAGAAAAGCTTGGGAACAGCAAATGAATCAGATACCAAATTTCTCACTTAAAATGGCCTTCATGGCTTGTAATTTGGTGTCTAATTTCAAGACAGGTATTTCACATAGCAAATGTTATGAGCTCCACTTTGGAAAATTGTAGTTGAGTCATAGTCACACCTCCTGTGTTCTTTGGGGTTCTCCTGCCAGCTCCCCATATGCAGCACTCTCTGAGCTCCAGGCTTCTGCCTGGAATGCGATCCACGCACTCGCTCCTTACTCCTCCCCAGTCCCAACCTCTCGCTCCCCTGCCATTTGTTTTTCCTAGTTAACTGTTACTCTTTAAGCACTACCTCCTCAGGGAGGCCTCCCCTGAGCCTCTGGCTGTAAGAGCCAGTACCCCATATTTTTCCATGTTTGTACTCTGCACAGGGCCCCCTCAGTACTTGCTCAATGTCCAATTTCCTCACTACACTGTAAGTTCCATCCAGGAAGAACCCTGCCTTGTTCTCTTTATGTCATTCATGCCTAGCCCAGCCTTAGCCCATAGGCCTGAATTCACTTCCTTAACTGAATTCCTTCTCTCCCAGGAATAAACATTTACTCATATGTCTGGTGTTCACACTCTCTCTGGAAGAACCACATCCTGGGATGCCCCATCCTTTTATTTTTGTCCAACCTTTTTGAATACGAGTAGTTGCAGCAGTGGCCTCTGGTCGAACTATGTGCATTGGCTCAGCCAGCCTCCTCCCTCATGGCAATCAGAAATTCTCCCCCTGTGCTGGAAATGCTACTAAACACACACAGCCTCAGCCTGGCTGCACAAATGATGGCACACTGACAACACAATTATTTGTTTTTAAAAAGTAAATAATGCTTCCCACTCATCTGTCCACAGCAAAGGCTCTGCATGGTGTGAAGCAATGTTACTAGAAACTCCGGTTTTCTTTGGGGGTTGCAGAAGCCTGCTGTGGGAAAACTGGTGGTCATGGACAAAGGATGTTAAGTCTGTTGCGATCTTGGGGGAGAAAAGAGATTCAGGAGTTAGCCAGACCTATGTGTTGCCAGTTTTCTCTTCTCTGGAGATTCATATGCGGCTCATCCGCAAGACTCCACCTTCTATCAAGCCCTTTTAGTCACTGGGCATCTTGTGAAATCGGTGGGAGGAGTTATTGATCCATTATTGATCTGCGACTGGGGAAAGGTGCTTTGGCACTGAAGCTGGGTGCTCACAAGGAATGGACATTTCTCTAATGTGCATTCAGTGGGTCGTTCTGGTTGTCTTGGTTTTTGCCTCTGGTCACACATTTCAGATTCTTTGAGATGCTGTGCCAACTATGCTGTCCTTTACCGGAGAGCTCGCGTCCTCTGGTGGTAAGTGTGGAGTACAGCAGTGCTGTCGACTTGTTTTGCATTATATAAGCCCTGTAGTGGTGATGGGAATGGTTGGTGATGTTTGCCTTAATTATGAAAACGATCTGGTTGCAAGTATCTGTACACCAATCCTTAACTTTAAGTCTAGCAATGGAGTACCCTTGCTTAAATTTGCAACTGGAAAATTTCCCTCAAGCATAGCATGTTCCAGTGGTTCTCAAAGTTTGATGTTGCAAAAGAATCACCAGAGAAATCTGCTTAAAACTCAAGTCCCAGCCTCGGCACCAAATGTGCAAGTTCAGCAGACCTAGGAATATTTAAAATGGGCCCGATGAGGCTGACCTGTTTGTTCTTTGAGAAATGCTGACCTAGTGGCTAAGTGTGGGTTTGGAAACAAGCTTAAGTCCCACCTCTGCAGCAGTATGACACTGGGTGTGTTCCTAATCACTCATAATCTCAGTTACTCCATCTGTAAAATGACAGTAAGAATTCCAGCTCCACAGGGCTATTGTAGGTTAAAAATGAGATGTGAAGATAAAAGGTTTGGTACAGGATCAGGTCATGACAGATACCCAGCACATGCCAGCTCTTATTATTTGTAGTATTTATCCTGATCAGCTCATGCTACAGGGCCAGAGATGACCAGGGGAAGCTGGGCTTTGCTGGACCAAATAGGCATTAAATCTTGGGTTCTAAGGTATCTGCAGTGTAACGCTACCATGGACAGAGACCCCTCATTCCCAAGGACAACCAGTGGGAGTGACCCCGATCAGGCAGTTATTTATTAACAGGAAGACAAGCAGCATCCAGCTGGGGAGCTGCTGAAGATGCTGAAGAGCCTAGGCAGAAAAAGACTCAGACTTAAGGACAGGGAAGGTGTTTTTTATATATCTTTGTACGCCCACCAGGCCAGATGGGCAAAAGAGAAGTTGAGTTGGCAGCTCCCCTGTATAATGGTATTAAGGGATCAACTTCTGTGTCTACATCTGTAAAATGAGCATGGCAATAAATATTTTCCCCACATTGTCCTGAAAAACAAATAAGTGAGGATATGTGTAGAACTCTTAGTGTAATGATTGACACCAGCAGTCCTTGGAAGGTATGGTTGTCTTTCCCATCTCTTCTGGTGTGACATCTCTACTGTGGAGTCCTTTGTAAAGCCAGATATTGATCAGGAGAAGGGTAACAGATGTGCCAGATGTGTAGTGAGATTTTAGAACAGTGTTTCTTGTTTTTTTGAAAATCTGTGGTTCCCTTGATATACTTAAAAGTCATACCATATTTTAATATACAGATGGTTCCTGAATTATGGTGTCTGACTTACAATTTTTGAGCTTTACAATGGTGTGAAAGTTCTATGCATTCAGTAGAAACCACACTTGGAATTTTGATGTTTTCCTGGGCCAACGATAGGTGATGTGCTCTCTCGTGATGCTGGGCAATGGCGTGAGCTGTAGTTTCCCATCAGCCACATGATCACAAGGGTGCTCAAACAGTTGTTCTGCTTTTTACTTTCAGTGAAGTATTCAGTAAATTATATGAGATATTCAACACTTTATTATAAAATAGGATTTATGTTAGACGATTTTGCCCAACTGTAGGCTAATGTAAGTATTCTGAGCATGTTTAAGGCATTCTAGACTCATCTATGGTGTTTGGTAGGTTAGGTGTATTAAATGCATTTTTGACTTAGGATATATTCAATTTACTATGGGTTTATTGGGATGTAACCACCATAAATCAGGGGAGATCTGTGTATCAAGTTTAATATATGTCATATATATATAGATCATATATATGTGTATGTATAATGTAAGTTTGCATGTATGTATACATGCATGTGTGTACACACACTCCGAGTTGTATTGTTTTCACCCATCAGGCTACCAGTACTGAGGTTGTAAGATAGCAAAGTAATATAATGACTTGGTGTTAGGTGAAGTCAATGTGGGTTTTCCTGTGGATGCACTTTGATCCATGCTTATTTATATCTCCTGTGTATTTTAAGGTCTTCCCACTTACAGCATTTAGTTGAAACTTCCCAGATCAGTGTGATTTTACCCTTTTCCAGAAAACAGACACATCCAGGTTGTGGCATATCCTCAGCTGCACCACTAGAGGGAGCCACTGTAATGGGCAAGGTCAACCTAACAGAAATGGAGGCCCCCAGGGCTGATTGGAGGCCAAGGCTGCAGGTTACCGGTAACATGTTTCAGATTTATTAAAAAACACATAAGCAACGAGTCAGAGCTTTGGCTGGGAGTGGTTTGGAAAAGAATTGAAGACGTTATTCCACAAAACATTCACAGTTGTGTGCTACAGACACAGAGCAGGGAAGTGTTTTAGAAGCATTTGCGGTGGACAATGGACGGCCCAGCCTCGTCGTACTCCTGTTTGCTGATCCACATCTGCTGGAAGGTGGACAGAGAGGCCAGGATAGAGCCACCAATCCAGACGGAGTATTTGCGCTCCGGAGGGGCAATGATCTGTTGGTCAATGTGAGACAGACAGGCCATAAGTGCACTGGATCGGGGCCTGAGCATTCCACCAGGAGCCAGATTGGGTGGATCTGGCAGAGGTTTCATGGACAACAGGGAGCATCGTGGCTGTCAGATGCCTAACCCTAACCCTAACCCCAACCCAAGTGGGTGTGAACAGGTTATGGATTTAGGGACTCTTCAGTGAGTGCACTTGATTGTCCTGTCTTCCTAAACACATCTATTCCACAGCTTCTGTAACACCTCCACTGTGTTCAGTCTCTACTGGGCAAACTGAGAGTTGCCCCAAATCCTGCATGGCCTCCACTTAAGAGCCCTGTTCATGCCTCAAAACTCAGCATGACACATACTTCCTGTAGAAACAAACACCAGTGTCTTCAAGAAGTTTTGATTGTGCCAGAACTTACTATACAGTTCTCCCCCTGAGATGCACCGCTGAGGGGCCCAGGGCCCCCCGCTGGGACATTTACTTGGTATATATCCTGGTTAAGTGCACTGGCTGGCCTTACCCACTACCGGGCCTGACATGCAAGGGCATAGTAATGTTCCTTAAATAAATGAATGGCCAGGCCCAGAGAGCAGGGCATCAGGCCAGGGGGCTCATTCACCCACAGCACCCCAAATAACTAACTCTTAAGTCAAGTGATTTCAAACTCCACCCCAGACTTGGATCCTTGGGCAGAAATGAATATGGACACTTTGGCCAACACAGAAAGTATTTCAGAAACCCTGGCGAGTGGGGCTAATTTCTGTTTATCCCCCAAGCTCTGTCTGAACATTTATTTTTAAGACAAGTAGCTGACCGTGACTGAGTACTTACTATGCACCCAGCACTATGCTAGGCCTTTTACATGTATTATCTCACTTCATTCCCATGCCCACTTTGAATAATTGAGTTACGCCCACATGATCAATGGTATAACAGACTGAGAGGTTTACGTATCAGGCCTGGGTCATGCTGGGGTTTCTGAAATACTTTCTGTGTTGGCCAAAGTGTCCATATTCATTTCTACCCAAGGATCCAAGTCCGAGGTGGAGCTTGGAATCGGTTGTGTTCATGTCTGACCCACTATTCAAACCCTGAACTCTCCCAGGTGGTGTTTGTTTCACTGAATTTTGTTTTTAGGAGTGACTTTTTCACTTTGGGGTAATTTCAGATTTACAGAAAGGCTGGAAAGATAATAGCGCATTCCTGCAGACCCCCTCATCCAGTTTCAGGTTCCCCTAATGACACCATCTTACTGTCCCAGGTGTTTAATGGTTCTCTCTCACCACATCAGAGTCTGAGTTCCACATTCATTTCTAGGCAAGAAGCCAAGTTTGGAGAACTATGAACCACCCAGCTCTAGCGGCAACTTCTCTCTATAACAAACCCCCAGCCAAGTCTGGCTTTGTCCATGAGCCCACCAGCTGATTTCAACTCCCTCCCAAGGTGTGGGAGGAGGAGTGGGTAACGGCCCATCAGAGGGGCATCCAAGAAACCCTAGTCCTCAGGACACAGTCTTCCATCCTCGCATCCTGCAGTTCTAAGAGCCTGTGATGCAGAGAGAGCTGCTTCGGTCTGGCACTTTTTATGTTACCTGCAAACCCTTTCCAAACAAAGAGAAAGGAGTGCAAATAGAGAATGTGTTTGAGTACTCTTTGTGCGTGGGAACTGCTCCTGGCATGCCCATCTCCAGCTCCCTGTGACGGGTCAGAGGGCCCCAGCATGGCCTGATTTCAGAGAGTGATAACAGCCTTTGAAAAGTCACCAGCCATGTGTAAGTCTGTCTCCAAAGCAAAGCATGATCTCTGAGTTCCCTTGACTGGGACTCCAATCTCACACAATGGGGCTCTTGGGTGACTCAGGGACTGAACTTGGTCATCCTGGAGTCATTCTGTGCTTCTGAGCACCTGTATCAAAAACGTGTGCCAGACAGAGAGATGAAGATAAAATTCTAATGCCTGCCCGCTGTGATGAGGTTACATTTAGCAGTGGAAGAAGAGCATAACTATTGAATCTACAGGGTTTAAACCTCTTCAGAAATATATCTGTCACATCTGACTTTTTTCAATGTTCTATACGTGAGATGTGCTATTTTTGTGATATTTGTGATAAGGAAAAATAATAAAATGTATAAAGAGATTATGAATGTCAACTAGACCTACTGTGCTGATCATTTTGCAATGTATACAAATATCAAATTGTTACGTTGTACATTGGAAACTGATGTGATATGTCAATTATATCTCAATAAAAGAATAGATATGTGCACATGGGGGACTTGGTTGACCTTTACTGCAGCTGCTGAAAGTGGCTGATTGAAAAGGTAAGTAGAGATTAAATTTTGTACAAAATAATGCAGCTTCTCTTATGAACTGGGTTGCCTTATGTCCTGTGATGTAGGGAGCCTGTGGACTTGCACCCCCTGCCTAGCACAGAGCAACCCATGGGCACATGCGGCCTCTGGAGAGTCCTTCCTGTCTGGTGACAGAGCTCCAGCAGCATAGTGGTGGGGTCCATCTCTGCATCATACCTTGATCTTCATGGTGCTGGGCGCTAGGGCTGTGATCTCCTTCTGCATGCGGTCGGCAATGCCGGGGTACATGGTGGTGCCCCCAGACAGGACGTTGTTAGCATAGAGGTCCTTCCGGATGTCAATATCACACTTCATGATGCTGTTGTAGGTGGTTTCGTGGATGCCAGCAGATTCCATCCCTGGAGAGGAGACACAGGCCATGTCCTTGGGTGGTGGATAAATCCCGGGTTAGACATGGAAGACCCAGGTGAGCAACTGAAAGATCCTACGCTGGACTGAAGAGAGGCAGGCATAATAATCTAGGAAAAGGTCCTTTTATGCTCCGTGTCCTCCCACCTTTTGTGCATCGAGAAGCACTGTTGCAGCATCCTCAGGCAGTAGGTGCTACACCACATCCCTGAGTCTTAATGGACTCACTACTGTGTGTGGTTTAAATACAGGGCAAAGCCTTCGGTATCCCTACAGACGGTCCCTCACTGAGCCACTGCTCAGAACTGTCCAAGTCTCTCTTTGGCTGCTCTGTCTGCTGTTTTCATCCCGCAAAGCTAAGTGACACAGAATCATCTCCTCTTAGGACCGAGACTAATTTTTCTTCCGTCTTGCTAATTTTTTTTTCTGAGCTTTTTGTTAATTCCTGATGTGAATGTTTTGAAAAGGACCTCCAGGTGGCCCTTCATCTTTTGTAGGGCTGTGGTGTAATGATAATAGTAGTAATAAAATACCTAATTATTGATTACTAACAATGCTGAATAACTACTGAGTGCTTGTTCTGGCCAGTCACTGAGCTAAGTTCTCCACACGCATCTCATAATGATCCCAGCCACCCTAGGACACAGGTACTATTACCACCCACTTTTTATAGGAGAAATGCAGGCTTGGGGAGGTTGAATGAATTTCCCAAGATCATGACAGTGAAACTAAAACCCAAACCCAGGCTCCCCCTTCCCAGAACCTAGCCCCTGAGGATAACCTTGCTATCCTCTCTCCCAAGATCAATGCTAATGCAGGGACAGACTCTTCCATTTTTCTCTCCCCCTACCACTCCCAAACTCTCAGCATTGGGCACATCCTGCTCATCAGAAATGGGACACTCTTTCTCTTGCCCTGATTTAGAAATACATGTGGTCTTGTGGCCCCTGTCACATATCCTCCATGCAGAAGGGTGCCCACAGCGAGGGGCTGGATGGACATGAGAAGATAGGGCGACCTCCACTTCCCAGAGCTGGGACGCTGCCTACCGATGAAGGACGGCTGGAACAGGGTCTCCGGGCAGCGAAAGCGCTCATTGCCGATGGTGATCACCTGCCCATCAGGCAGCTCATAGCTCTTCTCAAGGGAGGAGGAGGACGCGGCAGTGGCCATCTCATTTTCAAAGTCCAGGGCTACATAGCATAGTTTTTCCTTGATGTCCCGGACAATCTCACGCTCAGCTGTTGAGAAACAAACATTAGGTTTACATGGGTGGTAAAAATCTACCTGCTCTACTTCGGTCTCTCCCACAATACAACTTCCTTCAAAAAAGTAAGTTTGATATTCTGCAATGGTAATTAAATTACAGGCCCATAGGGAACCACTTCTATCCCCATCCGAATGCCTCACACACGGTAGGCCCTTAGTAAATATTGTCTAAGAAACGCAAGACAGGAATAACATGAGCTATCTAGAGAAAGGCACAGAGCGGGAAATCCTTTTGTACATTAAGGTTCTTTGCAGAATTAACTATTCACTCTCTAATTGTAAAACAGTCTGTTATAGATATTGAATGTTAGTTGACCAGGAAGTCTTATGCTTTGGGGCCCTCACAGTTTTCTAAAAGTTCCAGAGGTCATGTCACTTGGCCCAGGAAGATTCCAATTCACTCACATCCCTGCATATTCATCATCTTCCAGAAAGAGGCAGGCCCTGGCTCAGGACCAGTCCTAATCCAGAAGACTCCAGTGAAGGAGGTATGAAAGAAGTGGGCAGGCAGATATCCTCAGACACCTGCACTCTGAAGTTCAAAGCTACTGGTTCCATCTGGGAGCCTGGGGACATTTTGGAGTTATCTTGGAGTCTTTGTGGGGTTAAGAGGAGGAATACAATCAATTCAACTCCCTGCCCCAAAAAGAACATCTTTGGGGCTCAAACCTAGAGTCTAGAATAAGCCTCAGTCATGTCCAGAAGCTTCAACATGTGGTGTAACGGCCCATCAGAGGGGCATCCAAGAAACCCTAGTCCTCAGGACACAGTCTTCCATCCTCGCATCCTGCAGTTCTAAGAGCCTGTGATGCAGAGAGAGCTGCTTCGGTCTGGCACTTTTTATGTTACCTGCAAACCCTTTCCAAACAAAGAGAAAGGAGTGCAAATAGAGAATGTGTTTGAGTACTCTTTGTGCGTGGGAACTGCTCCTGGCATGCCCATCTCCAGCTCCCTGTGACGGGTCAGAGGGCCCCAGCATGGCCTGATTTCAGAGAGTGATAACAGCCTTTGAAAAGTCACCAGCCATGTGTAAGTCTGTCTCCAAAGCAAAGCATGATCTCTGAGTTCCCTTGACTGGGACTCCAATCTCACACAATGGGGCTCTTGGGTGACTCAGGGACTGAACTTGGTCATCCTGGAGTCATTCTGTGCTTCTGAGCACCTGTATCAAAAACGTGTGCCAGACAGAGAGATGAAGATAAAATTCTAATGCCTGCCCGCTGTGATGAGGTTACATTTAGCAGTGGAAGAAGAGCATAACTATTGAATCTACAGGGTTTAAACCTCTTCAGAAATATATCTGTCACATCTGACTTTTTTCAATGTTCTATACGTGAGATGTGCTATTTTTGTGATATTTGTGATAAGGAAAAATAATAAAATGTATAAAGAGATTATGAATGTCAACTAGACCTACTGTGCTGATCATTTTGCAATGTATACAAATATCAAATTGTTACGTTGTACATTGGAAACTGATGTGATATGTCAATTATATCTCAATAAAAGAATAGATATGTGCACATGGGGGACTTGGTTGACCTTTACTGCAGCTGCTGAAAGTGGCTGATTGAAAAGGTAAGTAGAGATTAAATTTTGTACAAAATAATGCAGCTTCTCTTATGAACTGGGTTGCCTTATGTCCTGTGATGTAGGGAGCCTGTGGACTTGCACCCCCTGCCTAGCACAGAGCAACCCATGGGCACATGCGGCCTCTGGAGAGTCCTTCCTGTCTGGTGACAGAGCTCCAGCAGCATAGTGGTGGGGTCCATCTCTGCATCATACCTTGATCTTCATGGTGCTGGGCGCTAGGGCTGTGATCTCCTTCTGCATGCGGTCGGCAATGCCGGGGTACATGGTGGTGCCCCCAGACAGGACGTTGTTAGCATAGAGGTCCTTCCGGATGTCAATATCACACTTCATGATGCTGTTGTAGGTGGTTTCGTGGATGCCAGCAGATTCCATCCCTGGAGAGGAGACACAGGCCATGTCCTTGGGTGGTGGATAAATCCCGGGTTAGACATGGAAGACCCAGGTGAGCAACTGAAAGATCCTACGCTGGACTGAAGAGAGGCAGGCATAATAATCTAGGAAAAGGTCCTTTTATGCTCCGTGTCCTCCCACCTTTTGTGCATCGAGAAGCACTGTTGCAGCATCCTCAGGCAGTAGGTGCTACACCACATCCCTGAGTCTTAATGGACTCACTACTGTGTGTGGTTTAAATACAGGGCAAAGCCTTCGGTATCCCTACAGACGGTCCCTCACTGAGCCACTGCTCAGAACTGTCCAAGTCTCTCTTTGGCTGCTCTGTCTGCTGTTTTCATCCCGCAAAGCTAAGTGACACAGAATCATCTCCTCTTAGGACCGAGACTAATTTTTCTTCCGTCTTGCTAATTTTTTTTTCTGAGCTTTTTGTTAATTCCTGATGTGAATGTTTTGAAAAGGACCTCCAGGTGGCCCTTCATCTTTTGTAGGGCTGTGGTGTAATGATAATAGTAGTAATAAAATACCTAATTATTGATTACTAACAATGCTGAATAACTACTGAGTGCTTGTTCTGGCCAGTCACTGAGCTAAGTTCTCCACACGCATCTCATAATGCTCCCAGCCACCCTAGGACACAGGTACTATTACCACCCACTTTTTATAGGAGAAATGCAGGCTTGGGGAGGTTGAATGAATTTCCCAAGATCATGACAGTGAAACTAAAACCCAAACCCAGGCTCCCCCTTCCCAGAACCTAGCCCCTGAGGATAACCTTGCTATCCTCTCTCCCAAGATCAATGCTAATGCAGGGACAGACTCTTCCATTTTTCTCTCCCCCTACCACTCCCAAACTCTCAGCATTGGGCACATCCTGCTCATCAGAAATGGGACACTCTTTCTCTTGCCCTGATTTAGAAATACATGTGGTCTTGTGGCCCCTGTCACATATCCTCCATGCAGAAGGGTGCCCACAGCGAGGGGCTGGATGGACATGAGAAGATAGGGCGACCTCCACTTCCCAGAGCTGGGACGCTGCCTACCGATGAAGGACGGCTGGAACAGGGTCTCCGGGCAGCGAAAGCGCTCATTGCCGATGGTGATCACCTGCCCATCAGGCAGCTCATAGCTCTTCTCAAGGGAGGAGGAGGACGCGGCAGTGGCCATCTCATTTTCAAAGTCCAGGGCTACATAGCATAGTTTTTCCTTGATGTCCCGGACAATCTCACGCTCAGCTGTTGAGAAACAAACATTAGGTTTACATGGGTGGTAAAAATCTACCTGCTCTACTTCGGTCTCTCCCACAATACAACTTCCTTCAAAAAAGTAAGTTTGATATTCTGCAATGGTAATTAAATTACAGGCCCATAGGGAACCACTTCTATCCCCATCCGAATGCCTCACACACGGTAGGCCCTTAGTAAATATTGTCTAAGAAACGCAAGACAGGAATAACATGAGCTATCTAGAGAAAGGCACAGAGCGGGAAATCCTTTTGTACATTAAGGTTCTTTGCAGAATTAACTATTCACTCTCTAATTGTAAAACAGTCTGTTATAGATATTGAATGTTAGTTGACCAGGAAGTCTTATGCTTTGGGGCCCTCACAGTTTTCTAAAAGTTCCAGAGGTCATGTCACTTGGCCCAGGAAGATTCCAATTCACTCACATCCCTGCATATTCATCATCTTCCAGAAAGAGGCAGGCCCTGGCTCAGGACCAGTCCTAATCCAGAAGACTCCAGTGAAGGAGGTATGAAAGAAGTGGGCAGGCAGATATCCTCAGACACCTGCACTCTGAAGTTCAAAGCTACTGGTTCCATCTGGGAGCCTGGGGACATTTTGGAGTTATCTTGGAGTCTTTGTGGGGTTAAGAGGAGGAATACAATCAATTCAACTCCCTGCCCCAAAAAGAACATCTTTGGGGCTCAAACCTAGAGTCTAGAATAAGCCTCAGTCATGTCCAGAAGCTTCAACATGTGGGCAATACCAAGTTAGTGAGGGGTGGGCAGTCAGGACCATGGGCACTGAGGAACCCCACCTTCTCTAGAACATCCGACTGCCTATTGTGGATGAGACAGGTGGCACCCGCTCAGAGTCCTGAGACACACGAATCACTGCCACTGGGTTGGTCTTCACACAAGCGAACAGTTACTGCTGGGTGCTTACCCTGTGCCCAGCATTCCAAACGCATCATCCCCGTTCTACAAACGAAGAGACTGTGGTTTAGCAAGGCTGGGCAACTTGTCCAAGGTCCACAGCCAGTGAGTGGCAGAAATGAGACCTGAGCCCTATCTAGACGCTTCCAAATATGGCCAACCACTACGCCACGCTGTCTTCTGTCTCTGCTCTCGTTTTTCTATTGGTAAATGGAGGGGATTAAAAAATGTTCGAATAATTCAGCCCTGATTAGCTCGTAACAGGAGATAGTTAAACTGTTCTCAAGGTAAGAATACAATCATTTTGCAGTTTCCTGCAGCAACCAAATCCGCTTTGCCCTCAGCATCAGAGGCAGGCCTTGCAGAGAGCAAGGCCTGCCCCCGTCGCCTGCTTGGAGAGTCCCTGCGGCCCCGCATCTGTCTGTGACGGCCGCCGCTGCTGCTTCCTCTCCGCACTGTTCCCGCGGGCCTCACCGGTAGTCACGAAGGAGTAGCCGCGCTCAGTCAGGATCTTCATGAGGTAGTCGGTGAGATCCCGGCCAGCCAGGTCCAGGCGCATGATGGCGTGGGGCAGGGCGTAGCCCTCGTAGATGGGCACGTTGTGGGTGACGCCATCTCCAGAGTCCAGCACAATGCCTGGGGGGCAGTTGAGACGATAAAATCACCGTGGCAGCTGGTGCGTGGTCAAGTAGAAGGGGAATTTCTAAGCCTCTCATTTGAAAGAGGGGAAAGAAAGCATTTAATAGGTTAAGGGAGGTAGGACAGGGCCTGGGGAAGATGGGAAAAAAAGAGCAGGAAGAGGGAAATGAGAGAAAACGTCCTGCTGGAAATATGATCTCAAGGGCTTATTTTTAAAAGTGAGAAGATCTTTGGGCTGGGATTAGTCATCTGAATTCTTAACACCCAATCCATCAAAACCCATATGTTTATAACCCTTAAACCCTGTAAGTGCTGGTATATGAAGTGGGGTCTCCCATTCCCCCCAGCCACCTACCAGTTGTACGTCCAGAGGCATAGAGGGACAGCACCGCCTGAATAGCCACATACATGGCTGGGACATTGAAAGTCTCAAACATAATCTGCAAAGCCATCCAAAGAGCAAAGTTAGTGATGCTGCCAGTCTAACCAAGAATGTTCAAGAAAGCACCCCTTGTTGATGAACATGGTGGGCTGCCTGGTTCTGGCCAGAGAAGACCCGGGTAAAGGATACCGAGCAGCCCCAGCCACAGGAAGGGAGAAATGAAGGTGTGACACCAGACACCATCACATTGGTGACCTGATGGCATGGGTATGAGGAGGGATGGTGTTGCTCATGTAACTGGTCAGACATAAGCAGGGCTCTGGCCCTGGCCCTGACTTGAATGTGGCCTGGAAGAACCCACCAAGCTAACAGCTGCCTGATGTGGGCTGCATCCCAGGTCCCTCATCCATACACAGAGGATGTGCACAAGATGGGCACCGAGTCTCTGCCAGTCTAGAACTTAGTAACAGTATCAGAGCCAAAAGAAGAAGAAAAGACAGCATCCAGGGCTTGACTTCCCTGATATAAAGAGACCTTTTAACCCTAAAGCTCAGGCTGGTTGGGATTAGCCTAGTTCTGTGATGTCTAAGGTTCCATTCAATCTGCTATACCTTTTTTATGTGGTTGCTGGGTGAATGCCAGCACTAGAATCTGAGGCCACTCTGCCTACCCTGAAGGGGCCCTGACTCCTGGAAGACAAGAGTTGCTTGCTGGTAACAGGACCGCGTGTGAGGGCCAGTGCCCAGCTCATGCAGTTCTGGGACAAAATTAGAACCAAAGCCCCCAGGTGTTGTGTGATACATTTATACACACTGAGATATTCCTGGGCCTTCATTTCTTCATCTGCAAAACCCTCCCTGTCTATTCTCCAGAATGTCTGGCATCACTTGCTAGAGAGCCACAATTTCTAGCTACTTTTCTGCCTTCACACCATTCACAGGAACAATAACACCCATCAGAAACATCTCTTGCTGCATGGAGTGATTCCCAGACTCACAGAGGTCCCCATAAAGAGTACTGCTAGTCTGTTGTAGTGAACACCAAGAGCTCTTCTGAGAACAAGGCCCTGCAGTATTTACATTTATTATTCTCCACCTCCAAAAATCCTGAGTCAATTCAAGGCACTGCCACTTCTAGCTGTGTGACCTTGAGACAATTACCTGATGTATCTAAGCCTCGATTTCTTCATATTATAACTAAGATAGTTATAACTCCTACTTCACATTGTTAAAATTTAAAGAGACAATGCATATAAAATACTTCTTGAAGGGAGAATGCTCCACCACCACAAGCATGAAATTGACATTAGATGTTTTTATCTTATAGATAGATGTTTTTATTTTATTTGAACTTCATTTAAACTGGAAACCTTGCCTGGCTGGTGAAATGGATAGTTGCTGTAAGGTTTTTGAACTTCAGGTAAGTCACAGTAATAACTATTACTTGTTGAATGTTTATTATACCAATGTTATACAATACACATTTAACATTTGCCTTATTAGTCTTCACATCACTCCTTTGAAAAGTAATAGCACTAATATTGTTCCCAAACATATAGACAAGGAAACTAAGGATCTGAGAAATGAAGTGGATTCTTTAAGGTCGTATAGCTGATAAGTGATAGATCTGCTTTTCAGACATAGAGCAGTCTGACTTTGGAACCAAAATTCCCCACTGCATGTTATCCTACATTTTGAAATGATTTCTCCTCAGAAGTTTTTAACTTAAAAACATGGCCTTTTCAATTAACCTCTTAAATTTCCTATTGCTCTTGGAGTGAAGGGGCAGTTCCTGCAGAAAGTATGTGAGCACCTCAACATGTTTCTGACCGCTGGAATCCCCGCCTTCCTGGGAAGCTGTCAGTGTGTGGGTGGACTGCTGGGTGGGCCTTCTCTCTGCTTCCGCACAGCCCCTTCCAACAGGACCTTCCCCGAGTCCCACAGTGCTGGGGGCTGGGGTGGGCATTTACCTGGGTCATCTTCTCCCTGTTGGCCTTGGGGTTCAGGGGCGCCTCGGTGAGCAGGGTTGGATGCTCTTCTGGGGCAACACGGAGCTCATTGTAGAAAGAGTGGTGCCAGATCTAGTGGGGGACCAAGGAGGAACACAGCAGCATGACCTCGTGGAGGCAATACAGACTCCACAAAGGGACTAGAATGAGCTAAACAAGGTCAGTAATAAAATAAAATGTTACGAGTACTCATTATCTGTCCACATTCTCACCCAGGCAGAGACTGAAGCTCAAAGGCTGTGAGTTAACTTACCCAAGGATTCACATCTGGGACAAGACTAAGCAAAAACCCCAACACAGGTCTGGCTGGCAGGTTGGTGTAGTTGTGGTCACAGGCTCTGGAGTGAAATCTGGGTTCAAATTCCAGCACAACCACTTCTTGATTGTGTCGGCTTAAGCAAATTTTTACCCTTTCAGCTCCAAGCTCACCATGGGTAACATACGAATAGTGTGTTTTCGTGAGAACCCTGGAGTTAATATTTAGCCCCTGTACCCGGCACAGAGTAAATGTTACTATTATTCAACTATATATTTTTTCAATTTTCAACTTGTTCTTTCAAATATTATGCAACTGTACCTTCTTTACCACCTACTTCCACTTTAGTTCTTATCCATGGGACAATGATTTAAGTAAGTAGGTAAAAGGGCAAATGGATGAATGCGTGAATGGATGAGTGACACCTAGGTGAAAACCCAGTTACCACTTTTCAGACTTTTAGGGAAATTTCCTTGTGCAAGAAAGAGGGAAGAAGAGGATAAGTCTCCCAGCCGCTTGCTTCCATCCCATCTGTCCCCTGCTTTGCTCTTCAGAGCTGGGAGAAGCCTGCGTCCGTTGACACACTCTGGACCTTACACTCCTGAGCAGACATTTGGCCTTGAGGTGTTTCCAAAAGAGCCAGTGACTATTTATAGCATGTTTGTGTGATGTACTTTGGACATAAGTATGTTTGCTTCATGATTGAACATCTTCATTAATCACTGGATGCTAAAAAGAACCGAACCATTGTAAAAAAGGTGGAACTAACTCATTATTTTTAAGAGCATGAAAATTCTCCTTTAGCACCAAGAATATTCGATTGATCCAGAATTAAAACAAGAACTTCTGGTGACAGTTTTAAATCAACCAAAGCTAGGTTGACTTTAAAGTCTCTTTATCCTGTTCCAGTTTCTTTGGTTTTGAGTTTGTGGTTTCTTGAAAGGAAATGAGACTCCTGAAAATTCTATTCGTTTAATGGGGAAAAACAGCAGGGTGCTCAAGAAATCCTGCCAGTCATTAAGTGTGCTGTGGTTACTCTGAAGCACCGTTAAAAAGACAACCAATGTCTCTCTTTCTCTCTCTCTTCTCTATCTTTGTCTCTCTTCTTATCTTTCTCGCTGAAAGAAATTTTGAATTTAAATCTTAGAAATAGTGAAATGCTTTATTTGTTCCCAGGACTGCTCTCCAGGAGTATGCACTCTGAGATGCTACCAGCTCCCATGGAGAAAGCCTTTAAGAATATTTTCCCACTGCTACTAATATTTTCTCCTCAGTGGAAACTGCAGTCTTCACCAAATCCAGGATCTTAGACTGAGACCTAAGAGACAGAGGTTTCAGTATTATTACTGATAAACTCTAGCAACACTATTTTCTTTTAAACTGGGGTGTGTGTGTGCATGAGTGCGTGTGTGTGTGTGTGTGTGTGTGTGTGTGTGTGTGTGTGTGTGTGTAGGGAGATGAGAAATCAAAGTCCAGATGTTGTGGTTCTCTTTTGCTCCATCTAAAAATTTCTTGTAAGTCGTTCTGTTTTACCCTAATAACTTGTGTTTCTATGATGCCTAATAATAAACATCAAAATCCTAGGATTTGACCCTTCTCATTAGCTCTTTTATATGGGTCTGAGAGATAAAAATTTCATTTAATGCAGCAGAGAGATATACTTTTAAAAATATTTATTTAAAAAATTTTGTCAGCTGCCATAGTTCATTGCGGAGGGATATTCAGGAATGCACCAAGTCCATAATGCCACCCCCCCTTTTCTATGGGAAAAACTACTTTTTTGAAAAAGGTTCAGGGTGAATTAATAAAAAGCTTTCAAGAGTGGGTGGAGGTAAGGCTACTCCCAGATCACCCACTCTACTGAGGAGCACAGCCACACAGCTGGTTTTATTCTCCTGGCTGCTGCTCAGACATGCTTATTTTAGGAGGGTAATCCAGTTGACTAAGCAAAAGACTATCAATTCCCACTACTGGCAAAGGGCTACTGCTCTCATTGGCAACACTGTCTCCCTCTAAGTAATTTATAAACCCTGTTAGACAAGGGATTTGTGTTTTTAAAGAACCATTTCAGGATTCTTTTTTCTGTTAGTGATAATCTAGAATAAACATTCACAAGTAAAAATAGAATTGGGTAATATGAGCCAGTTATTCTCCCTAGAAGCAGCAAGCTGTTTTGAATCAGGGGCCACAGGACTTGCACACACTCAAGGCTCATCCCACAGCCAACATCCCAGTACCTTTTCCATGTCGTCCCAGTTGGTGATGATGCCGTGTTCTATTGGGTACTTCAAGGTCAGGATTCCTCTTTTGCTCTGTGCTTCATCACCCACGTAGCTGTCTTTTTGTCCCATTCCCACCATCACCCCCTAAAAAGATTCAGTGTATCACAGGCAGCCTCTTCCAGGCCTCCTGGATTGATTATAATCCAATCACAAGGGTTGAATAACTGTGAGGAAAGTTCTTTCAGTACCACCAACAACATATGGTCACTATGCTCTTAAGCAACACCCCCCAGTTGGTAGGAAACAGGCCTGAATTGGCCTCCAAATAGCAGAGGACCCTGCAGGTAAGGCGATTTTACATTGTGTTTTTTATTCTATGTTCCTTGATGAGCTCTATTAGGGCAGACGTAGTGTTTGTCTGGTTTGCACTGTAACAAATTGCCTGGCACATATTTGTCACTCAATAATTATCTGTTGAATGACTGGTATTTTACATATCAGTTAAATGCCATTTTTGCCCCTTGTAAGTCCTTTAAACTGCACTGTTTCAGTATTCACTTACCCAAGAGTGTATGAGTATTATTTTCCAACCCTTATAAGCAAAAGCGTGTCTACAAATTACCACTCAGTAATTGACTTCTAATGGATATATCCCTACCAATCAACATTAATACATTTGCCTAAACTAGTCAGATTTTTTTTTAATTACTAAGGTGAAGCTTAAAAAGAAATAAAAAAAAGAAAGAGAATTCTTATTACTAGAATTTTAAATTGTACTGGAGTGACTTTTAGAATTGCAAAACTGTCATGGCTACAATAGGGCCATAAATAGTGTTTTGTGTAAAATATCTCCATTGAACAGAGTTCAAAAGAGATTTCAAATTTCTTTCATTAGGGGAGGCTTCTGTTATTCTTGTGAATATATGCCAGACTGAGAGCCCTAACTATCAGATAGGGTCAATGAGCAAAACACATTTCTGCTGTGAAGGAGAATTTCTAAGATGAAATTCTGTTTTTACCACCAACATTTTGTTTACACATAACATTATGTAAAATTACCATGTGGCTGCCCACATGTCATGTATTTCATAACCACTACAAGTATGTAAAATTACATTTGATAACAATGCTTACAATCATCTAACATCAAGATCTTTGAGAGTAAGTGAGCTGGCTTTTATTCTAGTTTCTTTCCAAATAGTGGCTATGGTATACATTAGGTAACTTTCTTAAGTTTCTGTGCATATGATGATTATATTTAGGCAAAAAGGACTCATAGAAAATAGTCAAATTTATATCTTACAGATGTGGATAATCTGTCCACATTGCATATGAAATCCACACTTACTCCTAGATATCAATCATTAGAAGATTATTTTTAACAAGGTTATATTATTTCTGGGCAGACAACAATAGACAATCTCTGGGTACCCATGGACACACAGACATAGAAGGACTTCCTCTCTACCCTCTGTTTCTCTCTGTTCTGATCAGAATTTTTTTTGTTATTGAATAAATATGATGTGCAACACTGTGTAAGTTTAAGGTGTACAGGGTGTTACCTTGATACATTTACATATTGTAACATGATTACCACTGCAGTGATATTTAGCACATTACATAATTACAGTACAGTATTGCTCACCTGATGTCTGGGACGTCCCACAATGGACGGGAAAACGGCCCTGGGAGCATCGTCCCCAGCAAAGCCGGCCTTACAGAGCCCAGAGCCATTGTCACACACCAGGGCAGTGCTGTCCTCTTCTTCACACATCTTGGCTGGAGCTACTGCACCTAGTCCTACAGGAAACAGGGAGGAAGCCACCCTTGCTGTAAATCTGACCACTCCCACCACCAGGAGTGATGGGTCCCCTCCTTAGTGCTTCTAGGGCGCTTTGCACTGGCCTGGAAATAACACAGCATTTTTCTCTCAAAGTACTTTAACAAGACTGTAGGCTTTTCATAAGCCAAAATTCTCACTTCCATGTTCATACAACTGGTCCCTAGCACAGCAGCTGACACATCCCATGTGTTCACAAACACTTTAAAGGCCGACAAAACGAGCCAATGGATGAACAACAGTAGAGCACAGATGAGAATTCCAGACTGCGAGCTCTGCTCTTCACCCCGACAAGTCACTTGGCATGTTAAAGAAGTTTCTGGAATTTGCTGTCTGTATCAACTCAAACACATTTTTCTAGATACAAGTTTTTAAAGTGGTCACAAAAAGGTAGATTTTGAGGGGTGGGCAGCATGTGAAATTTTGGAATGTTGAAATGTTTAATGTGAAGCATTTAAAAGAAAAATCTGTTTTGGATCCTGAGGGCTTTTATCCTTCCAGGATCCCTTGAAGAAACATTGGAACCAATCTAAAGTTCCTAAGAAGGTTCTTTAAATCTTAGTTATTCCCCATTAGTAAAATTACTAACCTAAAAGTCTACCAAGTAAGGAGAGTCTGATAAACTGCACATCATATAGTAGAATATTTTACTGCCATTAAGAAAGAAAAATAAAAGTGTAGGCTAAAAGTATGTTCTTCTATATGAATAATAGATTAAATAGACAGCAACATTGTACAATTCCATTTTAAAAATGTATTTTTATGCATTGCAAAAAAGTTAATCACATTTACCAAGATGTTGCTGAGGATTATTTTGAAGGGGTGGGTTATAATTATCTCCCCTGGGTTCTGTAATATTTTGTTAATTGAACATGTACTTTTTTAAAAATAAAGCACTTAAAGTAAGTGTTTAAATGTTTTAAATAAACATACTAAAGTATTTTTCATATCCCGCCCTTGGATCCTATAACAAATTTGAAAGGTTGGAGCAAAAAGTTTACAACTTCAACAATTTGGAAAAGTGAAGGCCTGTTAGCATTTGCATTCAATGCCCTCATTTTTACAGATGAGAAAACCCTGGAGGAAGTGTTTTGCTCAAGGGCACACAGGACATTAAAGGCAGAGGTAAGCCAGGGATCATCAGTTCCCCTTGACTACCCCTTGGCTTTCAGTCCAGTTTCCCTTTCATTTTTCCAAGCAGAATTAGTTGAAAATATCTTGTAAAGACAGGGTCTCTCAGGGTTCTCTGTCTGACTTTGAGATCTTAGGATTTCAAGCTGGGGCAAATTCATATTCTTCCAGGTTGGTGAACACATTGCACACCCTGACCTAGACATAAAAGGCAACTTGTTTGAGGAAATCTCTGGGATGTAAGGAAAACAAAAAAGCTACCACAGTGGGAGCTCTGCCAGACCATTCCCACGAGTACAGTGCTGCATTTTTCCAGCAGCCTGGGACCGCCACAGCAGTGCCCGGCACCTCAGGGAGGCAGCCCTTCGCAAAGATCACAAACCTCAGCTGCAATGATGCACTTAAAAATCCAGGACATGTACTATTATCTCCAAGTGACAAGCAAGGAAATCAGGACTCAGGGTGTTGAAGTGACTTGTCCAAAGTCGCAATGCTGGTAAAGTTCAGACAATGGAGGTTACAGAGTGTGATGATTCTGAGTTTGGACTCGAGAATCAGACTGCCTGGATTTGAGTCTGAGCTCCAACCACTTAGAAGCTGTATGACTTAGTACGTTATTTTAACATTCCTAAATCACAATTTCTTTATGCACAATTAGCAATAATCAGTACATGACACATTATGGGGATTCGTTTTTTTTAATCATTTAGAATGATTTGCAGTAGCATACACATTAGAGTTCTCAATAAATGTTAGTTTATAAATTATTAATATCATTATATAATTATTATTCATTATCCAGATTTTTTCATTTCTAGCCTTTCTTTCCACTTGCCTCCAGGCTGAGCATGGAAATCCTCAACTGGTGGATTCCACTTGTAAGAAAGGAAAACAGGACTTACAAATGGCTTGCTCTTTCCTTGCCCACCCTTCCCTTCCCCTTGCAGACACTGAATTGTGTTTGGCATTTGAGTGACTTGGCTTCCTTCCTAGCAGATTGAGAAGCTAGGAGAAAGGTGAGAAATGTAAGGGAGACAAAACGTGAGACGCAGTGAGAGTCTGAGGCATGTGTCGGAGGCGCCGACACCCTCCACAGGCTCTCTGTGGATGTGCTAAGCCAACTCCTCAAACCAAAAGTAAGAGCTCAAAACAGGATAAATTATTTGGAGTTGACAACACTCTGAAAATGCGGCAGTATGGTCACTGTGAACACGTATGCACTTAGTAACCAGCTTGGTGTCGGTGAGTGGGGAGGGGTTTGAATATACTGCAGGAAAAGCATCCTAATCTTCACCATCAGCAAGCATGAAAATAAGAAAAGTCTCCAAACTCAGTAAACATAGTTTTGTTTGGCAAAAGTTGTCCAGGAGAAATTTTATAATCTCTGAAACAAGCACTGTCATTAAAGAAGTCCCTGTATCCCTGGAAAGGAGCTGGCACTGTGGTTTACAAGTCTTATCTAACCTGAATGAGCAGCTCCGTTTGGAGCAAAGCATTTCCTAATTAGGTAAAACACACTCGAATGTCTGCTTCTGGAACGCACTGGTCAGGGAGTTTGCTCCAACCAAACAGAGTGCATCTGGTGCCAAAAATGAGTAGTTGGTGGGAGGGGACAGGGGAAAGAACGCTACAGTTCCCAGCTCGTCAGTCTTGAAACGCAAACCATATTTAGTCATGAATCACAAAATGGAAGGAAAATCTCAGGGTGAAAACTGCAGTTCGGACTGAAGCTGCCAAGCCCTGATTTACAGCAAATTTCAGCCGGGGTGTCAGGGCAGGCTCCACAGCCCCGCCTGCCTCACCAGGCTGAGAGAAATGCAAACCAGACATCCCGGAGGCTGAGATACACGCAGCTGTCAGATGCACGCTCTGCCTCTCCTCTCTGTTCACAGAGAAAGATTCAGTTGGTTTCCTGCCACGCTCTGCTGCAAACAACTGACCGACCGACCATGGGGCACATTTCCAGAAGTGAAGCCCACAGATACACGCAAGAGGCGTGCGTTTCCCACAGAAGACACCACCAATCAGAGCCAGAGGAGCCCAGAGGCAAACACCCATGCAGTCAGTATCAAAGACTGAGCAGCTGGCCTCTGCTCACTTCTAAAAGCCACTTCCAGGTACCTCAGCTGCACCAAAAACACAGTCCGGTGAAAAATCCCCACACCAAATCTGAGCCACAAACACACACTGGAGTCTTCAGTGCCTCAGATATAATAAATGTATGATTTACTGCAAACAACTAGACTCCATCCCTGAAATACACTGCAACACGTGGGCTGCTGGTTTAATATAGAACAGATTTTACAGGTGACACACCCAGATTTCATTCCATCTTCCTCTTCCCCTCTTCCCCCACACCAGCCATCATCTTACCCTTGTTTTTAATGTCAGATAGTTAGAGATAAAAGCTACATTCTTGACAGCAGTACAATCTTCATTCAAAATTTCAGAGCACATGAGCCCAGCCAAATACCTGTAGACGTCTGAGTGTGCTGGGTAACCTCAGAGCTGCCAGGCTCTGTAAATCACATCCCTGGGCCCGTGCCACTTACCCTGACACTGCTCGGCTGGGCTGCTCCACTCTGGGTGGTGTTCGAAGAAGCTGAATGCTGAAGGGTTATATAGCCCCTCAGTCTGCTCCCCTCCCACTTGCTTCCCAAACAAGGAACAAAGACAGACTTGGGTCCGTTGTTCAGTCTAACACAACCATATAGGGACCTCAGCACAAAACTCTCTAATCTGGGTGGCCGGAGGTCTGGGTCTTTTACACTGCATTCCACTGCTCTGCTCACAAAATGGGAGGCAGCTCAGCTGCCTGTGAGAGATAAACACCCCAACTTCAGAACAACTGCTGAAATGCCCAGAGATACTGAGCTGCTGTGATGGGGCAGATGAAGGCACAGTTTGTGCCTTCTTCAACAGATGCCAGCCTGCTGTCATACTGGCATGTCAGAGCTTTTCCTAATGCACTGAATGCATGCAGAAAGGAGCAGCCTCTGTCAAGCAGGGACTTTGGAAAATTCTCCTACAACAGTGGTAGGCAATGAACAAAGATAGTGCTTTAATTGTCTGTACAAGGATAGAGGGAGGGATGATTTTACAGTAGTCATGCCATGTTTATAGATTGAGTCCATGAGCGGTGTTAATGGAAACAGGAACTGTAGACAGGGCTGACAGGCCCCTGTTTTGCAGAGTAACTTGGAAGTCAGCATTACCATAACCATTTTAATCCTTTGGCACATTAGACATGTCTACTAACTTGTTGCCAAGCAATTCAGCAGCATGATCAGGAGCCATCCTTGGACCAGAGTCTATGCAGCATCCTATCACCAAGCAGTTTGGGAGAGAAAGGGTGCATTCAAGGAGGAATCTCTGATCCTTCCCTCTACCTGATGACCCATTAGACAGGTGAGGCAGAGAGAAGGCAGCCCAGGCACTGCTCCAAGGTAGGTGGTGAAAGGACACAGTCTGGCCATAAGCTCTCATTCCTGCATGTCATTAGGTAGCTTCAATGGTTTTATGTTTGTCTGCTCCCCTCCTGCATGCCAAGGTTCTAACCAAACTCATGAGAGAAATAGTTTTGAAGGATAACTGGGAGTATTTTTTGACTACTGACTTGTGAGAAAAATCCCAGAATAAATGGCTTTATTTTACAGCTGTGGCCAACTGTTCAACTCATGTTACCGCATCTGATCTGTTTGATTTGAGATACACACATGCATACACATATATCTGTCTTGGAGAAATTGCACTATTATTAGAAAATTTCAAATAGCTTAAGACTGAATGAAAACAAGTTTTCTGTGTTTTTCAGGTATTGTCTCTTTTTGCCAGGTGTGCCTAGTTTTTATTAGCCAGAAAACACACCTGTCTGGATGTTCAAATATGAAGACTACACAATACAACATAAAACTAGGCATTTGGGAGTAATGATTTTTATCACAGGGATCATTGGAAGCAAAAATTCCCCATTTTCCTGATTAGTAGGGAAGTTTGAGTAGAGGTAGGATCCCCTTCTTCCCACTCTTTCTTAAGCAGTACCTGTGTAGTCCTGATAACTTGATGAAGTTCCTCTAAACACCAAAGAGAAAGAGTTTTAGTATTCATCTTTATGATTGTTAAGTCATTTTCTTCCTCGATGACATAGTGTATATCTGTAATCCTGACAGTAACCAGACTATGACGACATTAACAGACATACAAGAAGATGGCTCGGGGTTTATTTTTTATTTTCATTTTTTCTTTCCCTTCTCCCTCCATCCCTCTCCCCCTCCCTTCCTCCCTTCCTCCCTTTCCCCCTTCCTTCCTTCTTTCCTTCCTTTTTTCCTTCCTTCCTTTTCTCTTCTCTCTCTTTTACCTTTCCTCTATGACACTAACCAGGCAGGACCTGTAACTGAAAATAGACCACTGAGCAAATGAGTAACGATCTCATTGTCTGGGTTTGAGATTTACACTCTTATACTCTACTCAAGCCTCTTCAGTGATAGAAAGCAGCCCTGGGCGAGTGTGTTGTATATACAAAGAAATCTCCAGTCGAGTGGCCAGGGCTCTCAGCCATGTATCCAAGGAGTTATGGAGCAACTAGAATAACAATGGTGCCTAATGACTTGCTTGTAGTTCAGGAACACTATAAAATAAATTCCAAACTATAAGCACATAGTCAAGAGTAATCTCCAGATGTGCTATTCTGCAAACATCAAATACCATTTTAGTAACATTACCCAGTGGTGATTTATTGTACATTCCTTGTCATCTGGGACAATTTTAATTGTCTTCGGGGCCCAGTCCAGAACTGAGGAAGCACTGAGTGCTCAATAACTGCCTTACAATTTGATTATTCTTTATTCCCAGTACCTTGTAGATTTAAAGTAGGCCATGACAATTCGGGCCTGCATCCATACAGCATGGATGTCTGGGAAGGAAAATGATTTTCTGGTGCTTTTGAAGATTTTGGCTGTAAAATTATTTTCTCTAGATTGATCACACTCACTAGCAATTCTGTTCAGCTTATAAAATTCATCTCATCTGAGAAGACACAGTAAGGGCAAGGTATCCCTTCTGTCTGCCATCCTTGGAATTCTCCAGGTTCTGGAATTCCCAGAACCAAAGGCTGAGTTCTCCTACGAGAGCCCAAGCAGACAAACTCATCAAACCCTTGTTAACACAGCGACCAGTCTAGTCACATCTAGAACATTAGACATTCTTCACTTGAGTCTAATCAGGATTCTTTATGATAAATAAGATTTTGTCCATAAAATCAGATGTAAGATCTTGCTTTTTGTGGGATATGTGAATACTCAGTAGAAGGTGCATATTTTTGTAGTGTTCTTATTTCACAATCTGAACACTCGGAGGAATCTCCCAGAAGAGAATACGCTGAGCACACTAAATGTGAGCAAAACAGCCTGCAGCATGAGGGAAGAATGCAGTGAGAGTTGGCCCTCAGACCTTGTTATTGTACAAAGGCAAACGTTTTTGGAGCAAGACAGGGATTTTGATTCAGAGTGCAAGTTCTGGGTCTGTCACATACTAGTTCTGTGTTCTATGTCATCACTTTCTTATATGAAAAATAGGATAAATTATCATACCTTATCACAAGGTAGTAATGAGATGTTAATAAATGAGAAAAGTGCCTAGAACACTGCCTAGCCCATGGAGAACACTATGAAGCTATTATGGGTCCTGTAAGCGGGAGTTAGACCTAGAGGTGAAAGATACTTTTTCAGACAACAAGTGCAGAGGAAAGCTCTTAACAAGAAGAATGTGACTCCCTATATTAGTTCCTGTCGCTGCTTTAAAAATATAGAAAATTTAGTGACAAAAGTCTAAAATAGGTTTCACTCAGCTAAGATCAAAGCAGCTGCCTTTATTTTAGAAGCTCAGAGAAGAGCATGTTCCTTTGCCTTTTCTCACTCCAGGCCACCTTCATTCCTTTTTCTTCAGGGCCCCTCTCTCCATCTTCAAAACCAGCAGTGCGGCATCATCACATATCTCCTTCTGAGCAACCATCCTGCCTCCCTCTTAGAAGGGCCCTTGTAATTACATTGGACCGTGCTGGATAATCCAGGTTAATCTTCCCATTTTAAGACTACCAACTTAATCACATCTGCAAAATTTCTTTTATTCTTTTTTCCATGTCAGGTTACATGTTCACAGTGTTTGGGGATTAGGGTGTGGACCTGTTGGGGACGTCATTATTCCACATACCACATATGCCCATCCCACCACTCACACAAATGTACCTCCTATTGTGTGTCTAGGCATTCGTAACAGTTTCTTAGTTAAAAAACATATTTCCACCGATGGTGTTGACATTAATACACTTACTAACATTTAATAGACCCTTAAGAGATAATTCACAAGTCCTATTTTACAGAAAACTGTAAAGCTGTCTGTTCGTGATCCTTTAAAGGCCTACTAGGAAAGCAGAGTAAGCTTGCTCATGCCTGTAAGCTTCTCAGAGTATCTAGAATATCTAATATATTTCAAGATTCAAAGGGCTTCTTCAAGTGGTATCTTATTTTCTTATTATTTGTAAAAGAAAAAAATCCCCTTTAGATTTTGGAGGCAAAGCAACTTTTAACATACCTGTCACCAAAAGATAATTTCAGAAATTAGGTTTAACCATGAAGAATAGAGAGATCTAAAAGCTGAGTTAAATTCCTGAGGTGGACAGACAGTATGTATTGTCCCTTTGTTAACAGCACTTATATTTTGCCAGCTTCATCTATGCAACATTACCCCCATGATATCGAATAATGGACTTTTCCATTAAACAAATCAGACTAGCTTAGGGCCTTTGTTCATGCTGTTCCTCTGCCTGAAACAGCCTTCCCACATTCACCTCTTTAACTACACCCCCACCTCCAGTTCTTCTGGCATGCTCTATTCATGCTCCCCAACTCAGGTGTCCCAACTCCTCCCATACAACACTCTTTGGAAGGAAGTCACTATGCATAGTCTGTACTTAAAAAGGCGGAGTTAAACACCACCTCCTTGAGGGCAGAGTATCTACATAAACTATTTGGAATGGAAATTATTTTTGATAGGATCCTTAATGGTGCATATCCATACCGAAATTTAGGAATCAGTGGTTGAAGGGCAGAATTACATGGTATCCTGGGGTTCCATTCAACTTGATGATTTTCACATCCTCTGAGTGTGGATGACATGGTGAACGGGTGGATTTGCTGGACTTCTGTGGAGGCTGATAGTCACTTATTTAGTCTAGAAACCAAGTTGCAGATCCTCTAGACACAAAACAGTGAATAAATATAGAATTGTTGATATTACCAGCATGGAGTGTTTGGGAATTGGAACCCAGCATGTTGGAGGAGAGAAAAGCCATACCAAGGAGGATATATATAGTGCTTTGCACCAGAGTCAAAGACACTGTTGAGAAGTCAGCTAAAGAAGAGAAAGCATCAGCCTCATAGTCTAGTGAACTGGTGCTGCGGTGGAGCAAAGGGGCTGGAGTATAGAAAACCATGTGAAGAGGATCACAGGCACATGAGCACTATAGGGCATTTTAGAGCTACAATGGCATTATTAACAACAATAAACATGTATTAAGCTGTTAGCCTGTAATAGGCATCACTTGTACTATTATTATATCCATTCTTTAAATTAGGAAACTGAAGCTGAGTTTAAGTAACTTACCCTAGGTCACACCACTACTGAGTGATGGGTTTAGGATTCAAACTCA